AACCCGGTCTCAACAAAAAACCAAAACAGACAAAGAAGAAAAAGTTGCTTACAATTGAAGCTTGACAGTAGAGTTGAAAATAGTATAGAACAGTTTAAAATGTTTTAAAGCAGGGTTGTATTAAATATACTGTAATTTTATAAGAGATTTAAGAATACATTCCAATTTAGAACATGAGTCTTATCTTTTTTTTTTTGTCTGGAACGAGATATAATAGTCAATTATTAACATTTATCACACATATACATTAAACAGAAGTTGGGCAAAGTGGATGCTTTAGGTGGGCTCTACTGAAATATGCCACTGCGCAAAACACACATGTAACAGAGTCAGTAAGAGGAATTTAGAAAGAAAAATATAAGTAAACTGCGGGACTAGACAGGGAATACTTCAGTAAAGATGGCAGGACTTGGTCACCTGATCTGTCCTTAGTTAAGATGGTGGTGAGGTCACCTGACCTTAGTCAAAATGACAGTCACATGTTATATGGAGAAACCATGTTCTTAGGGAAGCAGCGGGAATGTTGAAGAGAGGCATAGAGACCATGTAGAACACAAATTTAAAACGGAATTACATCCATGTGGCCACATCATTTACATATTCCTTTATACATGAAGTATAGAGGAAAATTACTCAACACTATGAGCAGTCATGTTACTGAGCTGGTGTCACAAGCTATGGTGGAAACAAGGGCTGGACCTGGAAAGAGCCCTTGCCAGTTTTTGTGAGACCAGCGGCAGTGGTGGTACTGATAGAAAAGAAGGAATTGGAGAGAGAAAAAGAGCATTTGCAGGTGGGTGAGAGTGGGACTGCCTAGCAACAAGAAAAGCAGACAGATGTGAGATGCCAGCACAGGACACCAGCAGTTCTGTTCGCTGGGCAGTTGGGGATGGGCTGTCCGGTGAAAGGAAAAGCAGACTGGCATGAGATGCTGGCGGTAGGACACCTGAAGTCCTGTCTGCTGGTAGAAATTAGAAAGGCGCTAATAGTTATTGAGGGTTTGTTTCCCATAGATGAAAATGCGAAAATGGCAAAAATAGTGCAAACCCCAGGGCAACAAGCTAAACATCTCCAAGCTAGAGTGAGGGTTGATAATAAAGCCAAGCTGATTTCTAGCCCATTGGCTAAGGAACCAGGAGTTAGGACTGCCCCAAGCAGTCCTTATAGCAGTGAGGACCACTTATGAGAGACCTGAAAAAAAAATATTAGCCAAAAATATAAAAAATCTGAACAGCACGAAAGGACCACTCCAAGTAGTCTGCTCATGTCTTTAGCTATGGGAAGCAATTAGAGGTGAATGTGAGCAAAAGCTGACTTGCTGACTTGGAGAAGAGAACCCTACCATTTTCAGTGATGGATCAGTCACAGGATGCTGGAAAGTGGTCCAAGCCCAGGGTCCCCATGTGTCCTCAGCTGGCCTACCTGCAGGCAGGAGGGAATATGAAGGGAGCCTGACTGAGTCACACACCAATGTTATTCTTTTTTAAAGATAAGGTGGGGAAGGAAGGCTGGTCCCACAAGGGGTGTTAGGTTCCAGGAGGGGCAGCCAGCCCCACTAGGGGCCACAGCGGGTCACCCAGGCCTCAGTAGGGTAGCAGTAGGAGATCACAGAGGGTAAGAGGCAGAAAGATACATCATGCAGAGAGACTTTGGGTATAGAGTTTATTTAGTGGGTTATGGAGGGAAAAAGTAAGGGAGAAGGGGAGAAGCATAGGTGAGGAGGTGGAGTTCCTCTTGCTTTGGTGGAAGGAGGGAAGTTGGGAGTGGGTGTGGCTTGTCTCTTAAAGGGACAGGGTGACAGAACAGACCAGCATATTCTCCCCAGTTTTATGGGCTCAGATCTCTGCCTATTCCAAACAACTTGCTTTACTATGACTCCTAGAGGCTAAATGGTTAAATTTTGCCCCAAGAACTCCTGAAACTGTCTTGCTGCTTGGAGCCCAGATGCCCCTGCTGCTCCTCATTAAAAATACAGAGCAGGCTTTGCTGTCAGAAGGACAGACAGCACCTGCGCCTACATCTATCAAACCCCTCAAGCTGATTTATAAACTCAAAAGATGACTTCCCCACATCTCATAAAGTATTTCTCTGGGTTGTATCTCCAACAGATGCACTAATAATCTGTCTCTCCTTCTCTTTCTTTCTATGTGGATGAGGCTCCTGAGCTCCTGATCTGCTTACAAAAAATACATGGCCATGTACAGAAATTCTGGTTAGCCCATCCCAGACAAATTCCAAGGGACGCTCTCTCTGTTGATTTGTAAAAATTCTACAGGGCTTCTCAGTTCACTTGGAGACATCAGATGAACTGCAGAAACGCTGCTTCATGATTTCAGCTCTCCTCCCTTCTCTATCCTCTGCATCTCCCACACTGCTGTGGTTTGCCCATCCCCCTACTCTGTGCTGTCTACAGACTCAGCAGCCTGCACTTCTCAGACCCTCCCAGCCGGCCAGCCCAGAAAAAGCTCATTGCTGCTGCTCTTTAAGTTAAATCTTACAGTTTTCATTGAACTCTGGAAATCTCTCATCCTAACACGAGGACCATTTCTTCAGCTGTCTAATTGTCCTACTAAACCCCATCTACCTTACAGGTATAAATAAAAAATAGCCACAATGTATCTGTCTTTTTAAATTGATTTTGTTTTTTTTTAAAAAAAATCTGAGCTTATATGTTCTCTGTGTTCCCTCTTATCCTCATAATATTTTAAAATACACCTTTTTTTGTTTTCTTCCGTCATAAGGCAACCATTTTGGTCTCTTTATAGTGCCTAAATTGTTTTGCAATATATTATAAACAATTTTTCTCTATTTCTTTCATTTTTATCTTTTATTTTTCCTTTTTTTGAGACGGGGTTTTTCTGTATGTCTTTGGCTATCCTGGAACTCACTCTGTAGAACTGGTTGACCTTGAATTCACAGAGATTCCCCCCCCCCTGCTTCTGCTTACCCAGTGCAGGGATTAAGGGTGTATGCTACCACACCCAACTACTCTTTCTTTACTTAAGGACTTCCTCTATCCTTTTTATTTTCTCTCCCAGAACTACATATATTTTTTAATACACTGTAAACAATTTAGGTGTCTTTTTCATCTGAATCTGTCTTTACTGTATATCATTATCTTTTTCTGACCACTCGAGTCTTTAGTCTGTTAAGCAGCATGACTAGGGTTAAAGCTGTGACTGTGGAAGTTTGTTCCATCCCATTCCTTAGCTTTCTGAGAGTTTAGCTTCATGTCAGAGGTACAGAGTCTACCAGGGGAAGGAAGGTTACCAAGAACCTGCACTTGACTCTGTTCTTGTCTCTCTAGAACACTTTTTTTAAAAAGCTGTCTCAGGCTTTATGTGGAAATTCTTGCCAAACATTTGGATGGCATTTGTAGATGGAATTTTCTGTTCTGCCTGGTTCCACAACTATTCAGGCCCAAAGAAGCACATAGAGGCTTATATTAATTATAAACTGTCTGGCCTATAAGCTCAGGCGTATTATTAACTACCTCTTACAATTTAAATTAACCCATAACAATTATCTATGTTTAACCATGTGACTTGGTACCTTCATCAGTAAGGCATTCTCATCCTACTTCCTCCACAAATGCTTTGTGACTGACTCTCTGCATTTTCACCTACCAGAATTATCCTTGTCTGGTTGCGTGACCTACACATCAAGCCTGGCTATTGGCCAATCAGTGTTTTATTAAGCCAATATGAGTGACAATTCTTTACAGTGTTCAAGAGCTTTATCCCACAGCATAACTTAGTGTCATACGTGGGCCAGGCCTGAAGCCCTGGGTCAGGGCACCAGCTCCACTACATAACAGACATAAAAACTGAATAGAAACAGACAACAAATGACAGAAGTAGGAATGTGGTGACCTCTGGAGAGGATGGCCATGGTGGAGCTTGAGGGAAGCCCTGTGCTTCTGTCTTTCCTCTGTGTCTCAGTGCTGCTCTCTCCCCTTCCCATTCTCTCTCAAAACACTGTTCTTTTCCTATTATTCTCTTCTATTCTCCTTTTTCTGCTTTTTTTTTCCAAAGTAGAGGACATAAGCAGTTTTACTTTGTAATCCAGGCTGGCCAGCAACATCTCTGTAGCACAGGCAGTCCTTGAACTTAAAACCTTGAGCCTCAGGCTGAGTTCTGTGATTATAGGTGTGTGCTCCTATTCCCCTTTCTGAAGTACTCTCATGTTGGTTTCCAAAACTGATGGGCTCATGTGTTCCAGACTGGGGGATGTATAGATTAGAAATATTAGATAGAACAGAGATATAAAAAAATAGAAACATGCAATAGAGTTGGGAGGACAACTCAGTGAATACTGAATTCAGGCCCTCATGCATACAGAGACAGGCCATTGCCCAGCCTGTACTTTCTCTGTGTGTATCTTGTACTCCAATGAAAGTTAACGTCATCAAAAACTTGTACAATTCTTATTCTTTGAGAACTTTTGGAACTTCACAATACAATGTATTTTAATCATATTCACCCCCCTGTGCTACCTTACAATAGAATTCCCCCAAAGTCCCCCTCCCAACAACTTCTCCCTGTTTTCTTTTCCCTTTATCCTTTCTCTTCCTTTCTCTTCATCCCTCCCTCACTCACTCACTCCCTTCGCTTTCCTCTCCGTCCCCTTCTTCAACAACCCATTTAGTCCAGTCAGTGCTGCCCATGAACACATGTGAGGAGCATATTTCTCTGGATAGCCGACATATCAAGGACACACTCCTGATGAAAACCAACTTTCCTTTTCCTGCCAGGCATCACCTGTCTGTAGCTAATCAAATGAAGGGGGAGGGCTCGTGAGACCATCCCCATTCATGATGGAAAGTTAAAAAGACTGATAGAATATGAAACAGACTTACTTTTCAAAATTAACTTTCTGGTCAGTGAAGTGTTTTACACTGCATACACTGACTGCAGGTTAACAGTCTATACTTTGTTCCCCATCTGACCACCAGGTGGCGCTAGCTCCACCCCTCTCTTCTGTCTCAGCCCAGGCTCACATTCCTTCCCTGAAGTTCCCTGTGCAGGCTGAGACTGAGGACAAACTAAGCAGCAGCCTGGGTTGCTCTTCTTCCCCTGCATCTGATAGTAGTAAGTATGGGCGAGCATGGGCGAGCAGGAATGGCTTTCTTATAGTATAATTAATTAGCATCACACACTTCACCGACTTACAGTGCATAGTTGTGTGGCTATGGGAATACTCAGAGGTTTGTAAGCATATTTTCTTTATCTACTCTGCTTATTTAAATCCAGAGATGCTTTCCTACAGCTTCTCTAAGTATTTTCATTGTGTTTGTGTGTGTGTGTGTGTTTCAGAGATGGGGTGGTAGTATGGGGAAGTTCAATGTGTGTGGAGATCACAGGATAACTTTTGAGAGTCAGATCCTTTCTTCCTACTTGTTGAGGTGATCTCTCCTGTACTATATCCTCCATGCTGTGTATTCTAGGGTAGCTGGCCCTTCAGCTTCCAGGTGATCTCTGTGCTGGGATTACAAAGGCATGGCCCTGTAGTCTACTTTTCATGGTATTCTTTGATTGAACTATGATGGCCAATCCTGTGCAGGCAGCACGTTTACCTGCAGAGCAACCTCGCTGGACCCTGGATGTTTTCAGAGCAATTTTTTTTTTTTTTTTTTGGTATGTGGTTTAGAGGCTCAACTCCAGAGCAAGGGCCAGTGGAATTTTAAACATAAAAGCATTTCATCCACAAATGGGTCATTAGACTTCTTTCATCTTATTTCTCTTAGGATCCAAACTCTTTATTATATAATAGTTGAGGAATAGTCACCCTTGGCTCTATCTTGTATTTAGAGGAACTGATTTAAGTTATTCCCTATTCAGTATATTGCTGTTCATAGAATTATCACAGTGCCTTTGTTGTGTGTAGGAGTGAGCTTTCTCTTCCTGGTTTGTTCAGGGCTGTAATCAAGAATGAATTTATTTTTTCAAGGACTTCTGCCATCTACTGAGATTAGGATATCATTCTTATCCTTGATCATGTTATGTGCTGAATTTCTTTTACTCAATTGCATATGCTGGACCATGCGTGCATAAAGCTCAGTGTTCCTTCACCATGTGTTTCTGTGCTTTCTATCATTGTTGACTTTTACTGTAGTTCATTATGATCTGACAGGGTAAAAGAAATCATCTTTGCGTTTTGGTAAAAGTTTGTAATGGAGTGTTCCAATTATTAATATGTAGTTATCTTTATTTTTCCTAACTTTGGCTGGGTATCTGCTTTGTCAGGTAAGAGTACAGCTTTCCGGTCTGTTTGCTTAAAATGACGTTTTCCATCCTTTCGTTTTCAGTCTTCATAAGCGTTGCCAGCTAGCTGATTTTCTGCTGCAATAAATAATGATTAACATTTCCTGCTTTTCAACTCAGCCTGCCAGTTGCATCTTTCACTCCAGAATTGAGACCACTTATACTTAGGTTACTATTAATATTTGTACTGAATGAAATCCTATAATTTGGTGGGCTTCTCTTCACTTCCTGACTTTGTGTTTTGGTTTCAACTGTTGTGTTCTTTTCTTTCTCTCTCATCTTTGATGTTTGCCGGCTCACAGGCAATTTGCTTTTGACTGCTGTGATAAAACATCATGACCAAAGCTACTTGGGGAGGAAAAGGTTTATTTGCCTTACACTTCCCCATCACAGTCATCATTAAAAAAGAAAAGGCAATAACTATGGCAGGAAGTGAATCAGAGACCAGGGAGGAACATGGATCCTGCTTATCGTGGCTTGCTCAGTCTGCTTTCTTAAGTGTCCCAGTAGTGCCCAAGTAGTTTGGGCCCTACCACATCAATCATTAATCAAGAAAATGTTCCATAGACTTGCCAATCTGATGGGGGCAATTCCCCAACTAAGGATTCTTCTTCCAGATGACTCCAGCGTGTGTCAAGTTGACAAAAGCTAACCAGCACACTTTCTGAGTTACTGCTGTTGATTTTTTAGAACTATGGGGGTTATTTTCTCCTGAGCTCTTGTGATTGTAGCTTTCTGTCCTTTTCCTTTATGATTTCATTTTCCTGTGAGTGTCTTCTTCACTGCTGTCTCAGTGGTCATGCACTGCTTTAGTTGTATTCATTTTGAAAGTCTTTATAAAGGACAAGTTTGCACTTAGTTGCATTTGGTTGTCTGTTATTTTCTTGATGACTCAAAATACATAGTTGCATTATTTGGCCTTTAGCCTTTCTGTCAAGTAAGGTGCTGTTGTCATGACTGGCTCTTCTCTGTAATCACTTTCAACATTCTTTTCTTGTTCTGAACTCTTTGAATTTTACAAAGAGTGTTACATGAAAGATTATTTTCTGGTCATATCTATGTGGTGGTCTAAATTACCTCGGTACCTGGATTTCTGAATCTCTCAATAGATACTTAGTATATTGTTTTAATGAATAAGTTTTCTATGCCTTTAGTCTCTGTTTTAGCATTCTGTTCTAATAAAAACTTTCTTGTTTGGTCTGTCTGTAATGACCTAGAGGTCATCATAAGTTTTCTTTATTCCTCTTGAATAAGGAACAATGTAATAACTCATTAATCTTGTATTTGAAGCCCTGTTTTTTTTTTATCTTTCAGTTAATCTCATCTGGTGGTGGGGGTTTCTCCTGAATTTTGAAATGTTTAACTGCAAACTTTTTCAACATTTGCATTTTTAAAAATTCTCTATTTATCACTGATATCATATATTGTTTTGTTTATTTCCTTCGGCTGCCATCTTTTTGAAGTGGCAATCCTTTTTAAATAAACCTCCTGAATAATTTCTTCAGGACTCTATCCAAATAAATACATCTTGATTCAGTTACTGACAAGTTATGATCTTTTGAGAAAGTTTTGTTTCCTCACATTCTTGTGTTTTGTTGTTGTGGTTTGTGCAACTGTGAGAGTGAATATAGTTTGTACACTAATGTGAGGATTTGTACAGTAAACTTCTTTCTACAGAGGGCACTGGTCAGAGTGCAGAATAAACCACAATAGCACTACCAGAGTCAATTTCCCACAATAATCATAATGGGGATAATGAAATAGTGGACAGGAGGTGGTGATGCACAACTTTAATTCCAGCACTTTGGAGGCAGAGGTGGAGGGATCTCTGAGTTAGAGGCCATCCTCGTTTATAGAGTGAGTTTAAGAAATTTCAGTGCTACAGAGAAACCCTGTCTCAAATAAACAGCAACAACAACTAAAATGTATAGGAAGTAAGGTTAGGAAAAATAAAAGGAGAGTAAGAGTAAAGAGCAAGGCCTTAAAATCAGTGTAGAAACAAAATATTATTCACACTAAAGACCTCCCGTCTTTGTATAGTCTTCTCCACGGCTAGTCCCAGGGGTCTTTGTGGACTGTGGTCCAGGTAGGCACTTCTGTGTGTGACTTTGTCTAAATGAAGAAGTGTCTCCTGGATGCTTTGGAGAAGTGGGGATGGCAAACAGAGCATGGAGTTCTGCAATGGAGAGAAGTTCTTGGAACTGAGCTCTTTGCTTAAGTATTTTCAGATCCTATCCTGTACCAAACCACCATGCAAAAAGGAAGAAGTGGAAATTGAGTAATCCTTTTATTCAGGTTCACAGTTCTCAGCCCCTGTCTTCTGCACACAAATTGTACCACGAGTCAGTTTCAGAAATCAAAGAATCTGCCAGGCACCTGCTCAGAACTCTCATGCTCAGCAGTCATCCAGAGGAGCCAATGTCATTCTGGTTACAGGAGACAGGGTTGCCTGTCCTTATGCCTCCACGGCCTGAGCTATGAATCTGTCTGCCAGTCACTCCCACCTCCACTACTGCCCCTCATGGCTGCCTACCCACCAGGGCATCCCAGGACACCATGACATGTGCTAGATGAATTTGGATCCCACCACAGCTCAGACTTAGAGAACAGAAGCTCCTGGTTCTAGCACTGTGAGAGAAGAGTGTGTACAGCTTGGGCTGTGCCCATCTGTGTTCCTTTGTATTACATAGGACAGGGGTTTTCAGAGTGAGCCTTGCCCTGAGTGACTCCATTTATACAGCAGGGGTTTATTTCATTATGATTCTGTACCTTATGTGTGCAAGTGTCCATCACAGACAGTAAGACATAGTTTAATAAATAACTCATTAATATGAACAATACAAACAAATTATCCCTACCTGGTTGTGGGATACTGCTCATGTGCACTGTGAAGTTTTGTCACTCACATTATTTTAATAAAATGCTGGGTGACCAGTAGTCAGGCAGGAACCATAGGCAAGGTGACCAGAATAAGAGAATACTTCAAAGAGGAAATGGAGAGAGTAGTCACCAGCCTGAGAAAGAGGAAGCAAGATTAAATGCATCACTGAGAAAAGTTACCAAGCCATGTGTTTAAATATAGATAAGATTTATGCATTAATTCAAGTTGTAAGAACTAGTTAATAATAAGCCTGAGCTAAAAGGGCAAATATTTTATAATTAATATAAACCTATCTATGTTTTATTGGGACCTAATGGCTGGAGGATTGGGCAGGACAGAAACTTCTGTTTACACTACCTATAAACCTAACAGACCAGGAACACCTAAACCCATGGATCTTTGAAGACCTTGTCTGAGAAACGAAGTTTGTGTGTTTGTCCTAAACACCAAAGCAGTAAGGGCTGCAGTGCCCTCATTTGGTTCTTACCCAGTGAACCATCACCGGGCCATCTGTTGTATGCATCACTCAATAAAAGGCAACAAACTCTTAACTCTGATCCCAGGACCTCTGCTCACATGATCAGCCCTAATTGAAGTGTCCCACTTGAGCTCCCATTTGTTCAGACCCCTTATGCCTGGAGTCAGCTCTGTGCTTTGGAGCAATCTGCCCCATGAACCATCTCTCTATCTTGAACTGACACTGTGCCTTGAACTAACGGAGTATTTACTGACCACCCTGCTCCAGAACAGCTCTCTCTGCTGCATGTGTGTCAGCTCTGTTCTCCCGTCCACAGCTCTGCTTTAATCCTTGCACCACTGTAAACCTTTATGGGTGACACTGTGTATTGTGTGCTCGTTGCAGTCTGAGATCTGAGAGACAATGTTGGTCATAGGATCAGAAGGAACCGGTTTACACTTGCCAAAAATCACAACCTCAGAAGAAACAAAAGTGCTGGGAAATGAAAGCCAAGAAAGACTATGCCGCTTATGAATGCCTTGTTCTTCAATAACCTGACATGTGGATGACGTAATTGTATCCATGCATGTTTTCCACATGGCATCTCCACGACAGTGATTGATTCAGTGAGTTCATTCCCAGTACTTCTCTGCCATGCAGGAGCAGTGTCAGGTCAAATATCTGCAGTAGAACAAATGATTTCTACTCTATGAATGTGCGTTTCTCCCATTGGTTACTAAAAACCTGACAGGCCGGTAGCTGGTAAGAAAGTTATGCCAGAAAGTCAAACTGAGAATGATGGGAAGAAGGAGGACAGAGTCAGGAGAGAAGCCAGTCAGCTGTCAAGCAAGCAGGATGTGTAAATATAGAGGTAACAAGTAATGAGACACATGGCAAAGCATAAATAGAAATATGGGTTAATTTAAGTAAAAGAGGTAGTTACTAACAAGCCTGAACAATCAACCGAGCATTTATAATTCATATTCGGTCTCTGAGTCAGTTATTTGGGACTGGGCATTTGGGACAGGAAAGGTCCATTTACAAATATCCATGCTGGATTTAAGGTTTGGAAGAGCGATAGTTTCCTCTTGCCAGCTTGTCGTCACCAGAGCAGCCTGTTCACCTTGGAGTGGCTGCCTGGCCTCACACATGTTGAGCATGCACTGACCTGTGCTCTCAGACCCAGGCCCGTGTTTCTCTATGTCCTGTTGTCTTCTGCGTTGTCTCCCATCACAGGCATTCTTGTATAGGAACTTCAGACCTACAGACACTTTATGCTCCTGTGTAGTTCTCTTTCTTTCTAATTTAGAACTTCTATTTTCATATGAATATTCTCATTCAGAATGTATTTCATTTTAAAATTATCATCAGTCATGTGTACATTTGATTCTCCTTTTTTACTTTTTAAACAGAAAATAAACTATCTTTTTTTCATTTTACATACCAATTCTAGTTCCTACTTCCTCCCCTCCTCCCATTCCTTCCATATTTCCACACTCCCTACCCCGCCTCATCGTCTCTTCAGAGAGGGTAAAGCACATTGCTTTGAGGAAAGACCAAAGACCTCCCTATAATATCTAGACTGAACAAGGTATCCATTCAGAGAATGGGCTCCAAAAATCCAGTACAAGAGTAGGAATAAATCCTGGTGCCATTGCCAGTAGCCCCTCAGTATGCTCCAGTCATACATCTGCCACCCATATTCAGAGGGTCTAGTTTGGTCCTATGCTGGCTCCTTCCCTTTCCAGTTGGAGTTGGTGAGCTCCCATTAGCTGAGGTAGACTGTTTCAATGAGTGTCCCCATCATGGTATCGACTTTTTGCTCATATTCTCACTCCTCCCACTCTTCCTCTGGCCTGTGGAGCTCAACCCAGTGCTCTGCTGCTGGACTCTGACTTTGTTTCCATCAGTTGCTGGATGAAGGTTCTATGGTGACATTTAAGATAGTCATCAATCTGACTACAGGGTAAGGCCAATTTGGGTGCTCTCTCCTCTGTTGCTTAGGGTCTTAGCTGGGCTCATCCTGAAACAAGTAATTTAAACCAATATCTGTGTAGAGCACACTGATGTGGCAGAGCCTTAGCCTCATAGTTTGGTTTGTCTGAAATCTCAAAGCCTAAGCCTTCTGGGTCTCAAGGCACTGCGTTTTGATAATGTCATTGTTCTGAGGCTCCAAGTTTGCCTAGTGACAGACTACTAATACTTTTCCTCAAGAATAACAAATCTTCTGGCAGATGTGTTTAGCAGATTTTGTTTTCCTGTCTTTTCTGGTGTTGGACATGTGCTTGGGTGATTTTGATGTGCTTATGGCAGGAGAAAGGCAGGTGGGGAGTGGCTGGCTTCAGTGCTGCTGTCCCTCAACCCTGGCTGCTTTGGTTGTCATCAGAGCTCTTCACACAGCTGCTCCCACTCTGCCTGCTTTAAGGATGCTCCTGGAGGAGGCTTGCCTGAGCAGCTGGTCCCTCACAGGCAGTAGCTCACCAACCAAAATGGCTTTTAGAAAGGAAAACTGGCTGTGTTGTTGATTTTATTTTAAACTCACAAGCTCAGTTCACTAAAGGTCTTACTTCAAAGCAAACATTAGTAACTTAGGAAAAGTGACATTTAAACTTCATTTGTATTGTTTTCCCTAGAAGTATTACTCTGCTTAGCTACTTATTTGGTGTTCCTGTACCTGTCATTTTAAAATTTAAGTCTTCCTAAAAATTAAGGATATCCATTACATCAATAATGATGTCATTGTCAGTGTTCACCTTTTTGGCTGTGTGAAGATTCCTAATGACCACGGGTGCAGTCTGAAGCTGGAAATAGTCACAAATTTCTCTGGATAGCCATGGAAGTTCAACTTGTTATTATTCCATACCCCATAATACAAAATATACCTATGTCGAACACATGCACACACTCACACTCATGCACATATGCACACACACAGACACATGTACATACAAGACATATGGTGATATTGGTTATGTATTGTGCCTCTGAACTTATATTAACCATATGATGCTTTTGAAGTAAGAGAAGTCTAACCCTTCATGTGCTGCCTTCTTCCTTGATGAATTATGAATAATATTTATGCTTTACTTGTTAGGGCTCATTTGTTTCTTAGGAATATGGTATCTATGGGTGGTCTACGTACTTAGTCATGTAGAGTTCTCATTGGGTCTTTAGGATATCATAGCCACATAAACTGTTCATCAGGAAGGAATCCGCCTTTGACTACACAGTCTAAACAGTCCTTATGTGTGCTGCTCTGTGTAATAATGTTGTTTTGTGGGCCATCAACTTACTCTTGCTGTTCCTTCTATAGGAAGGAAGAACCTCTGGAGATGTCGTCCAATAATGATTCTGTTACAGTCCCAATGACAGAAAGCAATCCGAGTGACCTTCGTGGAATGGACACCAGTGACCAGAGCACAGTGACTGGAGAGGCTGTGTTAAGTTTTCATAACATCAGCTACGGAGAAACAGTGCAGCGTGGATTTCCATTTTGTAAAAAAACACATGTGATAGAAAGTCTGTCAAATATCAGGTATGTGTCTGAAGCAGAGACCACAACATTGAGCAACTTTTTAACAACACAAACTTTCTCTATTATCTATAAACTGTATATGTTTGTGTGTATATGTATATATCTGTTTATGTGACCATATAAGTGTATGTGTGTATAGATATATGTTTATGTATGTATATAAGTGTATATGTGTGTATGTTCACATATGCAGATGTGTGGATGCTATGACACACCCATAGCACAAGGCTATCAGAGGGAAACCTTGAGCACTGGTCTTCACCTTCTACCGTGTGACACACAGAGTCACTCATTGCTCACTGCTGGTTATGCCAGGCTAGCAGACTGCAAGAGTCCTGAGATTCTCCTGCCTGCTGTAGCTAAGTTTTCTATAAGAATAAAAAACTATGCCTCTTTCAATTTGAATATTCTCTACTCTGAATCAATAAATCAGATTCTTTGGACATAATTTGTGTTTTGCTGTACCTCTACATCAATAAATAATGTCCTCTACTTGTTGGATGTCTCCCAATTTTAACTGAGCAAATTCTAAACTCTTTAATAGAGAAGGAAATCATCATTTTATGGGTATATATTTAGTTTTTCTATTTTGATTAAGGTGGTGTTTTGTTGTTGTTGTTGTTTCAGTGTTAAACTTGGCAACACACTCCTGTCCTCTGAGTGCATCTTTCTAATGTTTGGATTTCTACTTAAGATGCACTGATTTTGGTTTGATTCCATTTTAGTGGTAATTACATTGCTACTGATGTCCCATGAATCATTGGTTTCTTGTGACAAGGTCTATGAGGCAGTAAGTAGGTTATATGAAGAAATTAATCATAAAACAGTAGTAAGAAGCTGTTACATACTCAGCACATAAAGGCTGTCATGTAATGGAGTGTTCATGAGAATCTTGCTTCAAGGAGCACTTATCTTAGATGCACCATGTTCCACAAAAGAAAAGTCCTTAAATAATAAAGAGCAAGGGTTTGTGATATCTGAGGCAGTTTTGATGAGTTTCCACTAGCAATTGACATCTTTTACAAGGAATAGGCTTCTAATAATTTTTAATTTTATGAGTTTTCACTCATTTTCTGTGTAAAATTTCACTCAACTTCAAAAGCATGTTCAGCATTGACCCTAAACTAATATAACTACCTTTACATAAAAAAATCAACCAGTATGATTTTGTATTTACAGTGGGATCATGAAACCTGGCCTCAATGCAATTATGGGACCGCAAGATGGAAGTAGATCTTTGTGAGTATAATAGAAAACATACAAAAGCCCTTTGTTGTAGTGATATTTCAATTATATTTTAATAAATAAAACTTGCCTGAAGTTCAGAAAAGTAAAATAGTCATACTGACCAACCTTACAGACCAGGCAGCTATGGCACACACTTCTAATGTCAGTAGTCACAGTGACATACAGATTTATCTCGGTAGCCAAAGTGACACACAGCTTTAAAGCAAGTAGACACACTAGTTTGCTATAGGAAACTGGGCAGTAGTGGTGCACACCTTTAATTCCAGTTCAAGAGAGGATTATAAAACAGGAGGAAACAGCTCTCATACATTGTCTCATTCTGAGATTCCTGGAGGCTGGATCACCATTTTTGAACTGAGGTTGTGTAGTAGTATCTAAGAGTTCTACAATAGCCCAGAATGGACTATAACAAAGGTTAATTTATTCAGGGCTAAACTCCCAGTATGGGTAACAATCCACAGTCCTCTTCCTGTGCTGGGGAATGGAACCAAATCCAACAAAAAAGGGGCTGCACTTACTTTTTGTCTGCACTTATAGTACAGGAGACCACACCCAAAGTGGCGTGGTATCTTAAAGGCTATTGGCTGAAGGATTTCCCAAACAGGGTCGTGTTAGAGTCAGTGATTGGTTTGCTTTGCTTTTCTGGTCTTCAGGTTGAACCCCAATATCTGTCTCTGAGTTTTTATTAATTGTGCTTCACTTTGTACCCAGTTTTTGTGCTGTAAAAATGAGTTATTTCAGTACTGTGTGAGTGTATTTGTGTGTGTGAACATGTGAGTCTGGCCCTGTGTGCTGTGGATAACATGCAGGAGGATACATTCTAAATTTACACCAAGAGCAGGGAGCCTTACTAAGTCACTTTACTACTAAGAAATGACAGAGTGATTGGCATGAGGTGTTGGGTCATATTGTTATTATTTAATGTGGTGAAAGTATTATTAGAATTAGAAAGATGAAGAAATTTTCTGGAGACAAGAAATTACCACCAGGCCTAATTCTCAAAACACAGCAGCACATTACCTGTTTGAGTCCTAAAAGTCAGATAGCAGGGAGGGGCGGTCCTGTGGATCATGTCTTGTATTCATAATTCTGGCCTGTATTAGAGCACATACTGAACAGAAAGTAGTGTGTGTGTGTGTGTGTGTGTGTGTGTGTGTGACAGAGAGAGAGAGACAGAGAGGGGGGGGTTTGTGTGTGTGTGTGTGTGTGTGACTTCAATTAAACTTATGCAACATTTTTATTCTGAGTATCTGAAAGCTGTTACCTGTTATTGAAGGGATGAAGTAAACCATACAACATATGTAACCCTTGTAGGTTATTAGATGTCTTAGCTGCAAGGAAAGATCCACGTGGATTATCAGGAGATATTTTGATAAATGGAAAACCTCGACCTGCTAATTTTACGTGTACTTCTGGTTATGTGCCACAAGTAAGTGCTGGTGGGTTTGTAATTTTAGATTTCCCCTGATTTCGTGTGGTTAAATGCTCAGATAATAGACTTGTGTTTTTCCAGTTCATTAGGTGACACATTTATAGGCCATACTTTCTCTACACTGGTTTTTCACAATGACCCATTAGTCTGAGGGTGACATTATCAAATTGGCAGATGGGCAGGGATTGGAGTATGACATCTGTGGCACAGTATTAGTAATTGCAACTGTGATTTAATTCTATAGAGGACTACAGTTCTTCAATTTTGTCCTTTTTTCATCTTTCTTCACTGCTTAGATATTTTCTGCAATTAATTACAGGTAGATATAACCGAACTCCCTGTGCTCTTCTTGGAAGGCAAATGGGAGGGGTGAAAATGATTACATCAGGTTCTGTACTTGAAATTAGTAAAATTGAAAGCTTTATTTTTTTAGGAAAGTATTACATAGTGTATATTTTATATGAGGATTAGGTTACATTTGTTAGAATGATTGTTTATCTGATCACTATATTTAATTGAAATTCTATTTAACCTTAAGAATGACGTGGTGATGCACACACTGACTGTAAGAGAAAATGTAGAGTTCTCAGCTGCTCTTCGACTGCCAATGACTATGACAAGAGATGAAAAAAGAAGGCGAATTAATGAGGTCCTTAAACTTCTGCATCTGAATAAAAAGTCAAATGTTAAGGTAATGTGAGGAAAAGTCTTGAAAGACTGAGAACTGAGGGGAGAAGAGAGAGATAGAGGGGGGAGGGATGAAGGGAGGGAGGGAAAGAAGGAGAGGGATAGATACATGAGTGGATTATATGACTCTGTGTCAGCAGTTCCATATAATGTATGTAGTCACAGTGGCTGCTCTCTGTGTTAATGAGGTGACTGGTTACAAGATGTAAAAGAAAACTAAGCTGGGAAGCCTTCTTAGCAATGGTTAAATATGGTAATAGAGTGTGATCTAGCAGAAAAGAGTGTTCCTCACATGGACATTTCAAAGTTCTCCTCACAGGACCCTCCTCTTCCCTAAGTCTTAAACTCTTGACTTTAAAGAACTGGACAAGTGCTTTCTTCTGTTTATTGTCTCAGCCCCTAGAGGACTTTTCCTTTGTTGTTTCAGAATGTGCTTCTGCACTGACAGAGGACACGAAATGGAGAACTCTGGCTCTGTGTTCACTGTACATTTATTTTCCTCCATGGTTGTCCTTGGTCTCTTTAGCACTTACTTCTTACTTGTGTAGCACATGTTATTTTCTATAGCCTTTTTTCTTGTATTTTTATCTTATCCTTACTTGTGATTGATAGTTTTAACTGTCAGCTTGACACCGTTTAGTATCACATGGAATCATCTAACAGAGAATCTCAATGAGGAATAGTCAGGCTCATGTGTGTGCATTTCTGTGGGTAATTGTCCTGATTAAGTTAAGCGATGTAGAAAGACCCAGTTCACTTAGCCAGCTCTATTTTTGGGATTTGGGTCCTAGGTGTTGTGAGAATAGAAAATGTGAGTTGAGCACTGACAGGCATCTGTGCATCCATCTTCTCTGTGTTCTTGACTGGGTGTAACCAGCTGCAGCAGCTTCATGTCTTGCCTTCCCTACAATGGTCAACTGTACTTTTCAATTTTGTACTGAAATAAAATCCTTTGCTCCCTTTTTACCTTTAATCTGAGCAACTGCCCAGACAACTAGGATGTACTTCTGCCCTCATTCCCTGCTCCTTTATCTCTTGTCAATATTTATTCCATGACCCTGTGTAAGGTTTTATAGATACAACCTTGGGCAAGTGTAACAATGAAGGGACAAAGTGACACTTCCTGCTGAGATTTGTCCAGGATCAGGGAAGGTAATAGACAAGCGGTGAGCTTCACAACCAAAGATTGTAATAGCTAACTAGTTTCCTACTGACATATTTAAAAGAATATTTTATGGTATTTCATCCCTGAATACTTAATTTTTTATCCATGATAGATAAGGACATTTGCTTATCTTAATAATTTCATTCTTAACTATCAAAATACAATAAATCCTGATATCCTAAGCCCTGTCAGGTTATAACCATTCACATTTCCCAAGTGTTCTTTATTATTACATTATTTATAGAACCTGATTAGGTACTGTATTTATTATATGCTTAGAGATTATAATATCATGGTTCTTTCCCTCTTCTTATCTCCTCCAAGTAATCTTGCCTCTCACAATAATATCAATTTATTGAGAAATTGCATAGAGACGTTTGCTATATACAAATATAGATATTTGTATATATGGATGAAAATGAACTCCACAGAATAGGATTCTTATGGATTAACTCCTGTGGTGTCTTCTCCTTAGAGGCAGTTCGTAATAGGAAGGTACCAGCTGCTGATTCCCACAATCCTTCAACACAGACATTTATGAGATGATTGTCTTGTTGACGAGAATAACATAAAAGCTGATGTTTACCACGCTTTCTTTTTTTCTGAGTGATGGAGTTTTCTGTGCTTTGCTCTGTTTATTTACATGGTTTTGTGTTCACAATAAGGTTATTTTTTGCTTAATTTTTACCAAGAATTAGTCATTGCTCTCAGTTGCTTACTTGTTTTATAAAAGATTACATAAGAAGATCATTATTAACTTCTCAAAAGTCATGCAATGTAATAGATAGCAAGAATTTTAATGTAATTTCTTAATGATAGCTTTCAAATAAGGTGTGTGTGTGAACATGTGTGTGTGTGTGCATGCATGCATGTGCATGTGTGTGTGTCTGTCCGTCTGTCTGTCTGTCTGTCTGTCTGTCTTTGTCTGTGTGCTCCTGAATGCCCATAGCACACACAGGGAAGTCATTGAACACCTTTGTCATAGGTCCATTCTCTCCTCCCACCTTGTTTGTGAGTCAGCATCTGGCTTATTCAGCTGATGCCCTACAGGCATTTCTGATGCTCCTGGTGCATCTCCTGCCACAGATGCCTGCCACTGCATGTAGCTTTATATGTGAGTTTCAGGGATTGAATCCAGGCTTCAGGTGTGTGGCAAGTGCATTTCCATGCCAAGACTTCTCTTCAGTCTTTTATAAGATTTTGTTCTAAGAAATGTAGAGGCAATATGTGGCTACTGTAAAAGACTGACTGTTGTATGGGCAGCACAATAGTACACTTGCTAATGCCAGCCTCCTGGGATCCCAGTGTTTAGAACAGCACACTGTCAGGGAGCCTTAGGTACCATCCTCCACAACCCCACAGGGTCCAGGAAAGATTCCCTATGGCAGGTGAAAACTGACTGGGGAAAAGATCTGATGGGTAGTATACAAACTGATGGGAAGAAAGGGAGGAAGAGGAAGAGGACGAAGAAGAAGAGGAGGAGGAGGAGGAGGAGGAGGAGGAGGAGGAAGGGCTGTTCTTTACAGAGCTTTCAGTTTTTATAAGCATACAGACAAGTTAGCAGTTTCATAGTTGGTAACGAAGTATTGAGCATGCATTTTCACAGACTCACAAAAACTGGAGAATCTGACAAAGAGGCACCTTATGCCTTAGTGAGGATAAGGGTAATGACTGTGAAGCTCTCCAGCCGATATCAGGAGGATATCAATTAAGAATGGGACTTTTTAATCACTACAGAATTCTAAGAAGTTTTTGTGCACTAACTACATTTTTCTTAAACATTTATTTATTTATCATGAATGCAGTGTTCTGCCTGCATGCCAGAAGAGGGCACCAGATCTCATTGTAGATCGTTGTGAGCCACCATGTGGTTGTGGGAATTGAACTCAGGGCTTCTGGAAGTACAGCCAGAGCTCTTAACCTCTGAGCCATCTCTCCAACCCACTACATTTCTTAATTATAACTAGAAGTTAATGATTAATTGCCAAAAAACACAACAGTGGTTGTATTCTCTGGTATTTCTGCTTTCTTCCCTGGTGGCTGCGATCACACTGTTGGTAGCTATGACTTGATTGGCATTAGTGTCCAGCTTGCTGAGCTAAAAAGGAGTTTTTTTTTTTGGAGGTTTTGAAAGCTTTTGATTCCAGCAGGGTACCTGACAATATCCAAGTGAGGACTGATTTCTGAGATTGATTTATGGACTCAAGACTTTGTCCTGTGTCTCTAGGGGTGAACGTTAAAACAGTTAGTTTACTGGGTTATGATCTTCTGTTAACAGAATATTAATATCTTGTTTGGTTAGAGGAAAGGGCCAGTAGTTTACAACTTCCGGAGTCTGCTGTTAGAGCAGACATACTGCCTCCTGTTTGGGGCTTCTGTCTTATCAGTGAGTGCTGTCAATAGGGATACTTGTGGGTTATTAGTTTTATGTAGATTTTGGCTAGGAGAATGAAGGTTTGACTGAGAGAATGCTTTCATACCAGGTTTCATGGTGTGGGGGGATGTATCTTTTTTTCCTACAGGAGGTGTCAGGTTTACACTGCTGAGATAATTGTAATGATCACACGAGGTTTCTAAAGAATAAAAGTGACTTATCAAAAAGACAGGTGTTCCCGCAGCTCTGCAAATGGGTTCTATACAATGTTATATTTTTGAGAATGTGTCTAGTAGTCTTTCAGCTGTACCTGTACTGTATAATACTTGTGGGATCACCACAGTGTACTCACTAAAGCTATTTCTCACTGCAGCATTTTAATAGAACATTAGATAGTTTCTTACTCCTGAGTACTTACTTTTCATCCATAAATATAAGGACATTTACTTCCATATTGTGGCACAATTGATAAAAACACAGAGGGTTCAACTTGAAGGTCAGAAAAGCAAAACAGCTAGCCATTGGCTCTTACCTCTACCTCACTTCAAAATGGTGATCCTGCCTCCAGGAATCTCAGATGAGACTGTGACTGAGAGCTGTCTCCTCCCGTCTTATAGCCCACTCTAGGGCTGGGATTAAAGTTGTGCACTACTACTGCCCAGTTTTTGTGGCAAAAAAGTGTGACTTATTTACTCTCTGATCTTCAGGAAAGCTTTATTTATTAAAATAAAAATGAAACATTACACTAACCTATAAACTATATTCTTAACTTTGAAAATTAATGATTTCTTTATATCCTTATTCTTGTGTGACCACATTTATCCATATTCCTCAAACATCCTTTGTTGTATGTTGTCAATAGGTATTGACCATGGTTTTGGCTATCATGTTTGGAAAGAATTGTTCCCTAGTTAAGTGTCCCCATAATCCTTGATATTCCCTCTCACTTTACACATGACAGTGGCTGGTACAAAGACTCTGCCAGTTTGACCTGTAGACCATACAACCTCTTGAATTTGTCTAGAAGGATGAGTCCTTAGTTCCGTGATGTGTACAATTGAATAATGTCAATTCATGAAGTCTTAAGAGAGTTGAAAAGACCCTAATACAGAAATGTGAAAGTTTTGAAAAAAAAAAACAGTGAGTGTATCTGTATCTCGGTGTGTCTGTCTATAAATGTGTGTGTATCTATCTGTGTGTGTCTATCATGTGTATTTGTGTGTGTGTATGTGTATGTGTGTGTGTGTTAGAAGGTTGCTAAATGAATACTAAATTTCTAGAGATACTTCATCTTCTCCTGTCCCATCTTTCTCATTGCTCAGACAGGGAATTCACTCTGCCAGCTTTTGAGAGTGATAACTCATTACCTAGAACATGTGACATAAGAAACAAACAGTAACTGTCATTAACACAGGCTTCATGTCAAGTCTGTCCTGAGCCTCTTTCTACTCACTTGGAAAACTTCTTTCTTTTCCCAGGTGTACATATTTTTGTTCCTCATGATAGCAATATAACAAAATCTTTTATTGCTAGAATAGGCTAGTTCACCAATTGACAATGGCTGTGGGTGTTCTTGTTGATTATGATGGTCATTGTTGCTTTAGCCCAGATCTATAGAGCTTGAGAAAAGGACCGGTATAGCTATGGAACTGGTCACCGAGCATCCCATTTTGTTCTTGGATGACCCCACCACTGACTTAGACTGGAGCACTACTATTGATGTCATCTCAGTCCTGAGAAGGTAAGTGCTGAAGGAACATTAAGTATAATTCTCTTAATAGCTGATCACATGTGTGTATTTTTGGTGCAGGAGATTCAGAGGTAAGCTACAAAATTTCTTCCTTGTTTATTAGAGGGAAATTTGAATTAACAAGAAGTAAACATCAGAAAATGAGACAAGAGTATAGGGAAAGACAGCTGTGATGAAGGTGGAAACTGCTTTAAATAGCCTGTCCCCATAGCGCACAAGTCAGTGTCAAGAGAGCTGGCGATGAGTGTGTGAGATCCGAACAGAATGCAGATTGGATGGAAAACATTTATTCTGAGGCAAAGTATGTTTGCTGTGTCTGGAACATTAGAGAGACAAGATGAACCAGAATCAGGTTCTTACAGTCTGGATCCCAGATTCCAGATATTAATGTGTCTACAGTCTGTGAGACCTGGCTAACTGAGTTGTGTTTGATGTCTCTTTTCTATGTGTCTATGCCCTGATCTTAAAGGGACACCATTACACTAGGGGACACTGGTATTCTAATTTAAATTTAATTAACTTTTTAAAGTCTTTATCTCCAATTATATTCACATTGTAAGTTCTTAGATGCTAAGTATTCCACAAATGAGTCCTTGGAAGGACACAATTTAGCTCTCCATCTTCACACTGAATGGAGGGGGTTGATCGGGTTGGATGTAGATTGCCTAGATACCCTGGTCCACTGTAGGGTCTACGATTTTCCATGGCAGGGAATGTGGGAAAGCTTCTGAGTTTAGAGCAGAGCAATGCATCATGGAGAAGGTTCTGCAGCTGCACTATGAGGGTGTAAGATTTCAGCAGGAGACTGAGATGTAGAGGTTCCTTTACTAGGAAATGGTAAACTCTAGGTAGCTTCGAATATAGATAAACAGCATTGTCTCTGGCTCTAGCCTTGGATGTGATGTGAGAAATGATTGTTAAGGTCTTGGTCCTAAACCTGGGGAAGTATGAGTAAAACAAATGGCATTTTCTTCTCTCATGGAATAAGTCTGTAGTTGAAATATTTAAAGAAAATTTGTAAATGTTGAGTTTTGTACATCTTAGAAATTAATAGAATTTCAAACTGACTGAATAACCCCAAGAACCATTTAAGGACTATCACATTCCCATGACCTAGGCTCCAGGCCATTGAACTTTACCGTGCTCTCTGTTTTTCCTTTCCTCCCCTTGTTCTTTGCTTTGTTCTGTCACAATGGTCCTTACATACCCCGTCCTATACCTCTAAGATCCAAGATCAGTTCACTGTTGTACCTTCCCAGTGATGAAGTTAACAACTGGTTCCTTGCTACCGACTAGTCTGCAGACACCTTGGGTGTCACCCCCTTCCCTGTCTGTCCCTTTTCTGTCTGCTTCAGGATACTCTCTAAGATCAGCTTGTTGCTCAGATACCCATGTGGAATGCTTCTCTCTGTCCCTGTGTCTTATGCCATTGCTCGTATTAGTGCATTTTATGGGGTCATCCTAATTGTGGTTTATCCTAGAGTTCTGGGAGCCCACGCAGGCCAAGATATGTTGTGCTCTCCTTGGTCTCAACATCCTATGAAGAGTACCTTGTGGTAGAATCATCTTATTTTTTTTTCATTTTATCTATGTATCTATGTATCTATCTATTTATCTATGTATCTATCTATTTATCTATGTATCTATCTATCTATCTATCAATCATCTATTTACGTAGTGTGTGTGTGCGTGTGTGTGTGTTTGTGTGTGTGCAAGAGGGTGTGTCTGTGTTTGTGTGTGTGTGTAGCATGTTTTTAGAGGTCATAGGAAACCTCAAGGGGATTGCTTTTCTTCTTTCACACAGTGGGTTCTGGGGATGGAAATCAAGTCTTTAGACTTGGCATCAAATACCTTTACCCATTGAGCCATATTGCTTGCCTAGCTTGAATCTTGATCATTTAAACATGCTTGTGGTTAATGGTTACACATATATGAAATTTCAACTTTTTCTTTTGTGATTTATGAATAATTGGTCATGAAAAACAATTGGCTTTTCGGCCATTATTGTGGCCTTATCTCCTGTCTACCAAGGTTGTTCTGCTGGAATTCAAGGTGTGCACTATCATGCCTTTATTACTCACTCTCTTTCTTTCCTTCCCTTTTTCTCTTCCTATCCCCCTCCCTTTATTCCTTAATCTGTTCTTCCCTCCTTCCCTCCCTCACTCTCATTTTTTTTGTTCTTTCTGTGTGTGTTAATGAAACAGAGTCTTAAGTAACCTCAGTAGGCCTTGAACTCCTGGTCCTCCCAAGTTCTGGGATATTACAGATATGAAACCATACCCAGCTTAAAAACAAAACATAATTCTTTATTGATTCTTTGGGAATTTCACATCTTGCACCCCAATACCAAGCAACTCCCAATCAGTCCCCGCATATCCACACTTCACCCTCAGCACACCCCCTACATGCCTTACAGCAGTGGTATGGGAGAATGGTCTGTATTCTGTTGATTATATTTCAAATAAATGGTGATTGGCCAGCACCCAGGAAGGAAGTATTGGCAGGACAACCAGACAGAAAGTAGAGGTGGGTCAATGAGAACAGGAAAATTCTGGGAAGAGGAAAGCCCATTCCTCTACAGTTGTGAGGCCAACAGAGAAGAAGCAAGATATGACTATGCCACTGTAGAAGGTACTGAGCCATGTGACTAACACAGATAAGAGTAACGGGCTAATATAAATTATAAGAGTTAAAAAGAATCCTGAGCTAATGGGTCAATCAGTTTTTGATTAATGTAGACCTCTGTGTGATTTCTTTGGGACTTAACTACTTTGGGAACCAGGCAAGACAGAAATGCAGACAACAAATGGTGCCCACATGGACAACTGCATGCCCATAAAGCCTGAAAGAGCTCAAGAAGTAATTCTAGACAGAAAACAATAGACTAAAGCATGGTTTCTTGGTAGCAGCAAATTCTCAGGTCTGCTCTGCTTGCTAGAGGCAAGCAAGCACTCTCATTTAAGAGAGGCTTCCTGATTCAGCTAGTAGTAAAGCCTTGCAGATTTTACAATGTCTTGCCACAAAACACTTAAATGGTTTTGATTAAAAGCTGACTGCAAACTTTTTGGTTTCAGCTGTAGGAGGAAAAAAGCCATGTCATTTAAAAATAACAGCTTTCTGGGCCATACTGCCAGGGCAAGCTCTGACCATTTCAGGTAGGCAGTCCAACTATTGTGGTTTGATAGCAAACTTCTACAGCTTGCTTGCTGGCAGGGACCTTGAAACTCCATAGAGTTGTGGCAATAAACATAGCTATAGCCAGTACCTCCACCATGAGGCTGGAATCTCAGAAAGCTAAGAAATGTCTAGATCTAGTCATCAAAGCCATGGCTCTAATCCTCTCCATATTGCTTAGCAAATTAAAGACTCACATGATCAGAAAAAGAGAGATAAACAGTAAGGAGAGATTCAAATATGAAGAAAACCTCTAAATGTTTAATGGTGTGTTAAAAACATATGCAGGCTTGGGAGAGGAAAGAAAAAGGTTAAAATCCTTAAAATAAGAAAAGAAAGAGAGTAGTTGTGTTTGGTGACTATCCCACACTTGGAATCCCAACACTTGGAAGGCAGACCTCTGTGAGTTCAAGGCATGGTGACACATGTCTTTAATCCCAATGCTTGGGAGGCAGAGGCAGACAGATCTCTGAGTTAAAGATGTGGTAGCACACACCTTTAATCTCAGCACTTGGGAGGCAGAGGCAGGTGGATCTCTGTGAGTTCAAAGACAGCCTGGTCTACAGAGGGAGTTCCAGGACAGCCAAAGATATACAGAGAATCTGTCTCCAAAAGTAAAAGTAAAAAATAAAAGAAATAGAGTTTAAAATAAAGCCACATAAAGATGAAAAATACACAGAGAAACTTGAACTGTATGTTATTATGCTCTCTTTGAATTGTTTGAATGCTGAGGAAGGACCAACAGCTGCTAAAAGATATTTGCTTATAAATGCTGCTGCATTGTTCTAAGATAGGTATTTTGAAAATACCTTGACTTCAAAATTGAAGTCAAAAGGTATGTTACTTTGGAGAAAAAATTTTGTTTTTGTTGCCACGGGAAATGAGAGGCTGTGGATTCATTCTGAGTTAAGAAAAATCAGGTTTGATCAAGGAAGATCACCTTAGAAATCTTCAGTAGGAACAGATGGCTCAGATGTCAGAGTTATACATACAGAACAGATTCAAGATGTTGTCTGAGATGATCAAGACTTTCAGGAAACTCCAGTCATGACATGATCATATTTCTAAACTTTCTTTACATCCCCATTATATTATCAGCACATCCAACCAGCAGGAAGTAGCCTGGAAAACTACGCCCATATTCCCCAAAAATGGACTATGAATATTTTGTTTTGTTTTGTTTTGTTTTAAAGAGGGGGGGGAAAGTGGTATGGGAGAATGGTCTGTATTCTGTCCATTATGTTTTAAATAAATGCTGATTGGCCAGCAGCCACGCAGGAAATATAGACAGGAGAACTAGACAGGAAGTAGAGGCAGGTCAATGAGAACAGGAGAATTCTGGGAAGAGGAAAGTCCTTTCCTCTGCAGTTGCAAGCCTGACACAGAAGAAGCAAATGTGACTATGCCACTGAAAAAGGTACTGAGCCATGTGGCTAGTACAGATAAGAATAATGGGCTAATATAAGTTAGAAGAGTTAAAAAGAAGCCTGAGCTAATGTGTTGATGGCGAGAGGGGGCCTTTTGTTTGTCCCTGCAGCCCAGCTAGCTTATACCTAAAATAAATAAATAAATCACACAGAAACTGTATTCATTAAAACACTTCTTGGCCGTTAGCTCTAACTTCTTATTGGTTAACTCTTACATCTTAATTTAACCCATTTTTATTAATTTGTATATCGCTACAAGACTGTGGCTTACTGGCAAGATTCTAACCAGCGTCTGTCTCAGGCAGGAGTTCCATGGCATCTCTCACTCTGCCCTTCTTCCCAGCATTCAGTTTTGTCTTCTCTGCCTACCTAAGTTCTGTCCTATCAGGCCAAGCAGTTTCTTTATTGATTAACCAGAAAAAGCAACACATAAACAGAAAGACCTCCTACACCCTTTCCCCTTTTCTGTTTAAAGAGGAAAGGAAGGCTTTAAATTTAACAGAGTAAAATTACATATAACAAAACAGGTATCAAATAAAAATTACAGTTACAATATTTATATCTACTTTATCTTTTATCATAACTTAGAAAAACTATAATTCTAACTATCTATCTATTCTTCAACTCCATCAAAGACTCCAGAAGGATATAATATTACCTAAGTAAACAGGTGATGGGTGTGGTCGATCGATAGTTAAAAATTAACCAGACCAGATTAATATAAAAGATTTAGCTTTAATAAACAGAAGAAAGGGAACTTACAAAACCTGGGTTCCAGTGATCCAGAAGCGCAGGGAACAAAAAGGCCAGGGCCAAACACACCTGGACTTTTATTTGTTTTGTTTGGCCCCAGGGGGACACACCCTAAGCAGAATGTGATTGGCTGAAGTTCCCCATCAAACAGGAAGCAGATTATAAACAACTACCAAACTCTAGAATTGACAGAGACATCTCGCTGCCTAGACATTTACCCAAAGTTCTTCTGAACCTTTGGGGCATCTATCTTCAGCCTACAGGCCCATAGTGTCCAGCAAACTTTTCCATGAAACAGGAAATTTCATAGATAGTTCTGCCAATATTAGCAGTTTTCAGTTACTTTCTTTTGTGTCCTGTTGAATTTCTTGTAGACTCTTTCATAAAGCAGGAACATCGAAGGACCCTCTCACCTTTAGGCAAGTTTAGCAGTCATCTCTCTGTGGGTTCTTCATATCCAGATTATGCAACAGTCCAATCAAGATCATTTTCTTGACCAAATGGCTAACTAACTCCATAAGGAGCCTTTTTGATACCCATCTTTCACAGGGAGTAGCTTCATGCTGCCACAAGCATTTGTGTCTCATTGTCATGAAAAGCCCTAAGTTATTAAAACATTTTAAATGCCATATTCTGTAGTCCTTGAAAGATATAAAGAATGCCTATCTGAAATATATCTATGCACATCTAGAAAATCTAACTAACATGACTACAGACTTGACTATTATAGATGATTATCTATTAACCTATATTTCTTAATTATACATTACATTTTAAATGAGTTAAACAATAACAATTAGAATACCTTAATCAAGATCAAAAAATACATATACATATAACAAAATTGACCTTACATTTGTATCCATAAATCAAGATTTATACCTCGAACTCCTGATGTTCCACACTTCAAGAAGTCCTAATTCTGAAAAAAAAAAAAAAAAAGCTTGGATCTTTTGGATCTTCATTTCTCTATCAGGTGCATAATACAAGCGAGATGAGGTGTCTTTAAAGAGAATTCAAGCTGAAATGGGAACAGAGAGTACAAATATTTTGCCAAGAATCTCAAGGTTCCTCTGTTTAGTGACTTATGACTTTTCTTCTGTTTAAACTTAGGATGCCTATGAGGGGACGGACAATCATCTTCTCCATTGATCGGCCCCCGTACTCCATCTTCAGACTGTTTGACAGCCTCACCTTAGTGGCCTCAGGAAAAGTCATGTTTCACGGGCCTGCGCAGGAGGCTTTGAAATACTTCAAATCTGCAGGTATGCCTGGTTTTTGCTGTGAGAGCTCCTTCATTCATGGGATCTGGGGAAAGAACAGGGGTTTTCAGGAATGCTGTTTGGCCCTTGGACAGACTTACTGTGTGGGTTTCTCCATTTTAAATACCTTTGGTTGATTTGGTGACCGAATTCTGTTAGTTGTGCAGCACAGGCTTGCTGTGCAGGTCTCCTTTCTATCTCCTGTCCTGTATCATGCCTGTGTTTCAGCATATTTACTGAGCTTCTTATTCTGCTTCCAATTCATTGTGACCTTCTTAATTATCCAGTTACCCAACACTTGAACAACTTTGGAAAGGCCCAGCATCATTGTGTTCTTGCTCAAGCAGAAGACGGTGATTTTCAGTTTTCCCTAGTGTGACCTGACTCAGAGGAGCTGTGGAGAGGTTACGTGACTTAGCAGTAACTTTCTGTTTTAGGTTTAGGCAATGACTGAAGGTTGCAGTGGCTCAAGTCTGGCTTCTGTGGACTCATGTTTTTGTTTGCCTGTTTTTTTTTCAGTCAGATTGGATGATGACATATTTTAATGGGTCATGTCATCAATTTCATCTTAGAGAAATATGGGTATATTTATGAATGATTTACTTTGAGTGCAAATATAGGTTTAAATATTTGCTATCATTTAAAAATGTGTGAGCATTTGTGAGTCTATGGAGTTCAATAAAAATTTAGGCCAAATTCAAGTGATTCTTTCACAGAAAGTGTTCATATATCTATGTCTAGTCTACGTCTATTCTATACCCATGTCCAGTCTGCCTCTATGACCAGATCTATGTCTAGTCTATTTCCATGTCTAGTCTATGTGAATGTCTTGTAGTCTTTGTCTATGTCTAGGCTATGTCTAATCTGTCTGTGTCTGTGTTTTATATATGTGTATGTGTATATGTATGTATAACACCAACATAAACACACACATGTATACAATGGTCTGTGAAACAGAGATTGCTGAAATACTATGAGTGTATATATAATAGAAAAGGTTAAGATAGTGGACAGGAGTGGCAAGAAGAGGAAGAAGTTCTTAGATTCTGTCTCCCCTACTCTACTTTCCCATTCTCTGAAAGAGGGTTCTCATATTTCTCTTCATGGTCCACCTTCTTTGTAGGTTACAACTATGATTCCGACAATAACCCTGCAGACTTCTTCCTAGACATCATTAATGGATATTATTTCTCTGCTCTATTAGACACAGAGGAAGATGGCCATGAAGGTGAGTCTTCTAGAGTCACAGATTTTACCTAATTTATTTTATTAAAACACAACGATTGTTGCCTCAAAGATCAGCCTCTAGACATCTCAGTGTTCAGAGGGAAGCCATTGGGCTGGTGAAGCTAAGACCTTTTCTATCTAAGCGATTAGGAAGACTCTCACACATTCAGTTGATCATATCCTTCTTTATTCATCAGCCTCTTCTGATGGACTGACTGGGGTGTATCTGGATGTGTCATCAGAGCCATACAAAAGCATGTTAATTAATTGTTACATAAAGTATTTCTTCAATCCAAGGTCTTCAAACTTAATCTACATGTCTTTTTGAAAGGAGCATCACATGCCTCCATGACTCTAGTCTTTCATTAAGCGTTGTGTGCAATACAGAAATAATTTAAGAGCCCCAGGTGTGCCTGAGGTGTCCTGTGACCAAGGTCATGGGATGACCACAAGGCCCCCTTAGTAAAACAATCATTGTCCTTCACATGGATTCTTCAGAGTTAAAGTACTTTCAAGAAACATCTGTTTATCTTAATCTCTATCCTGTAAAGTGCTTTTGAAAATTTCTTAAGCAGACAGGTGACATGTTTTTCATCTCTCTTATAGGATTAAAAGCAAGGTCATTCCAATATCGCATATACATTTATGTCTTAAGTAACATATTGCAGATCAACAGAGCCTAAGCAGGGAGAAATAATCTCTTCATAGACAACACGCTTGCCAACTGGCGTGGCATATACTGTGCCTATTCTACTGTATGACTATAAATTCAGTGTCACATGGAATGATAAGAGAATCACAAACCAAAGCTTTTGTACATAAAAGACAATCAGTCAGCTGTGCTTAGATCCTCAGGGTGTATACAGATCTGTCACTAGTTTCTTATATCAGGAGAATTGACAACAGGGATGGGTAAATGGACACCAAGACCTGTGTCTTTATCTGTTAAACAATAAGGGAATTAGGGCCAGCCTTGCTCCTAGAGAGTTCAATTGTTCTTTAAACATTAAGCTGAGCTGTTATCTAAAGCTGTTTCTCAGGTGGAGCTCAAAGGTCTTGACTGAAAAGCATAACTAACTTTATATATACTTCGATTCATGAAAGTTCTGTATATTATTATCAATTAGAACGTGCATCTTAGGGACAAAGTCATCTTCATAATAATTCACAGGTAAAATTTCCCAGAAGAACATGATGTTTTCAAAGAGATAAACATTATCTTACAGGCAGTGGGGAATTTTCTCACACCCAATTCAACCATGTTAGATATCAGAGCAAAAGCAAGCAGGCAAAGAGGAAGCAGAAGCAAAGACAACCTGGGATCTGTGGTCTGGACGGGGGGCTTTGCCTGACTGAGATTATTCATCAAGGAGTTTCCTCCTGGTTTGTTCAACTCCCGTAACCTCAATCACCACCTTCTGCTCCTCTTACATGTCCTCTGGTATCATGGCCCCTGGCTCACAACCAAGTGTCTCATGAGAAATAGCTTTCATGTTAATTTAGTGTCTAAAATTAACTAACAGACTTTGCTGTCTGTTAGTTCTGGGTGTTTTTCAATTTAATTTACAAAAGAAAATTTATATGATATTGTCACAAAGGAAATTTCTGCTTAAAAGTTAATGTAGCTATTGTTTGCCATGCCATTCTTTTCATTGTTTTAGATATGGTTTGCTTATTTATTCAGAGTGGCCTTAAATGCGTGCACTTTCTACATTACCTCCTAAGTGTAGATATTACAGGGCTATGTCAACATCCTGACTTTGTTTATTTCAAAAACAAGATATTTGGCAGTTTATACATTCACAAGTGACAGAAAGCATGGACCAGACTGTTGTATTAAGAAATATAGAAAAAAATAAAAAGAGAAGTATAGATCCATAAGAGAAGGAGGACTTGGTTAAGAATTGGGGTCCATGTGGGAAAAGGCCTATCAGATTGCTGTGTCCATGGGGTAATGACAGTAGTCAGGTCAGTTAGGGACACTTTTCTAATCTGAGAAGAATTACACAGGAGTAATTTCATTATGCTCAAAGTTTGGTGGGCTGAAGATGTAGCTTAGCTAGTAGAATGCTTGCATAGCGTGCACAAAGCCGTGAGTTTGGTTCCTAGCAGCACATAACTGGGTGTGAGGGTGCATGCCTGTAATCTCAGCACTTGAGAAAGAAACAGGAGGACCTGGAGACGTTTAAGGTCACCTTTGACATCAGAGCAGCTTTGAGGTCAGCCTAGGGTACATGGGACTGCCGCAAAGAAAAACTGATACATAACTTATGTCTTATGCATGAGTACTGTCTCAGAAAAAAACAGTTTAATTATTGTTTTTTACACATATCCATTTTTATCCCAAAGCTGAAGAACATACAGACCTTTCCGAGAGACAGCACCAAACCACAGAAAAATTAGCCATTGTGTATGCCCAGTCCCCTCTATACAGTGAAATGAGAACTGAATTGGATTCACTCATGGGGGAACAGAAGTCAGGGAGGAGCTCAGCCCTGGAGGAGATCACGTGGGTCACCCCTTTCTGGTATCAGCTTTGGTGGATCATCTGTCGTTCATTCAAAAACTGCCTGGGTTTTCCACGGGTCACCAAGGTCGAGGTAATCTGATGAATTATTTTATTTGCATTGTGAAAAACTTGCATGGGAGCCATTTGTTTCTGAGTCAGTACTGCAGGGTTACACTTATCTTCTGCAACCTTCCATGTGTTTGTCATCTCCACACTGCCAGGCAGAGAGAAATATTCAATAAAGCAAGTAGACTATGATTAAGTTTTTACTTACAGAAAACATTTTTGTGCCTGTTTTTTATTTAGAGAAACTGTAATGACTAATCCAATAGGAAATTCAATTTAGAGAACAAAAGAAGAAATTCAGCACACCTGGGAGCTCCTCACAAATGTCAACTTTATTTCACCATTGCATCCTGCAAGTTCAAAGTCCAGGAATGAGAAAAGGAGGAAAAGGGTTTTTTTCTTGATGCAACTTTCCATGTGGGTGGATGGATGGTAACCGGATAAACAGATAAAACTGTAGCCTGTCAGACGAGAGAATGGACTTGGAGAAGGTTTAAGTAGAGAAGGGTGGAGATGACTGGAGAGGGAAAGGATGGTTGGTCTGTGGTTGAGATCATGTGGTGAGGAGACAGGGCCACAGAACAGCTCTGAGGGAGCCTGAGCATCGACTGCCTGAGATGAGCCCGCTGCAGAGTGCTGTTCCCTCGTCAGGAGTCCAGTGTGTGAAAGCAGCAGCTACTCAAAGAGTGCAGCTCACACACACATAGTAACTGGATGAAAAATGCTCTTCCCTGTCAGTCAACTGGAGTGAGAAGGAGGTGAAGTTCTAATTTTCTTTAAACTGACTCTGTAACAAGGATCATAAGATCATCATGACTTTGTAACATGACGGGGCATGCTTGTTGGGGTATCTGTTCCCGCCTGGTACCCAACAGCCAGTAAGTCCCAGAGAAAATCAACCACACAGAGATCTCTATAAGTTATAAAGCTGATTGGCCCATTAGCTCAGGCTTCTTGTTAACTCTTATAGCTTATATTAACCCATTACTCTGATCTATGTTAGCCATATGGCTTGGTACCTTTTTCAGCTGTCAGTTCACATGTTGCCTCTTCGGTGGTCTGGGCAGGAATGGTGGAGGGAGCTTCTTCCTCCCTAGCCTTATCCTATTCTCATTGCCCCACCTCTACTTCCTTTCTGGTTGACCCGCCTATACTTCCTGCCTGGCCAATCAGCATTTTATTAAAATACATGATTGACAGAATACAGACAATTCTCTCGCACCATTTCCCTCTTTTTTTTTTAAACAAAGGAAAATACCCATAGTCCATTTGTTGGGAATGTGGGCGTAGTATTTCAGGCTACTTTCTGCTGATTGGGGACGCTGATAATCTTATAGGGACCTAAAGAAAATTTAGAGTTATAATCAAGTCCTGACTGGAATATCCTGGGAGTCTTGATCATCTCAGGCAGCAGTCTTGAATCTGGATGTAGAACTCTGTCACCTGGGCCATCTGTTCCTGTCGGAGATTTCTCAGGTGGTCTTCCTTTATCAAACCTGATTTTTCTTAACTCAGAATGAATCCACAGCTTCTCATTTTCTGTGGAAACAAAAGCAAAATCTCTTCTCCAAAGCAACATACCTTTTGACTTCAATTTTGAAGCCAAGGTATTTTTAAAATACCTATCTTGGGTTAGTTCAGCAGCATTTATAAGCAAAAGTCTTTTAGCAGCTGTTGCTCCTTCCTCAGTATTCAAACAATTCAAAGAGAGTATAATAGCATACAGTATCAAGATTCTCTGTGTATTTTCCATTTTTATGTGGCTTTTTTAAAACCTCTATGTCTTTTATTTTTACTTTTTAGGACAGGTTCTTTGTATATCTTTGTCCTGGAATAACTCTGTAGACCAGGCTGTCCTTGAATTCACAGAGATCTGTCTGTCTCTGCCTCCCCAGTTCTGGGATTAAAGGTTTGTGCTACCACACCTTGAAGTCACAGAGGTCAATGTACCTCTGCCCCTTGAAGTCACAGAGGTCAATATGCCTCTGCCTCCCAGGCATTGGGATTAAAGGTGTGTACCACCACACCAAACTAGTCCCTTTTTTTCCTTTTTATGTCTAAGAACTTTAACCTTTAGCCTGCATATATTTTCAACACACAGTAAACCATTTAGAGGTTTTTTTCATCTTTGAATCTTTCTTTACGGTATCTCTCTTTTTCTGACTACATGAGCCTTTAATTTACTAAGCAATATGGAGAGCTGTGGCTTTGACGGCTAGATCCATCCCATTCCTTAGCTCTCCAACCTCATGACGGAGGTTCCACTGGAGCCATTTTTCTTGCCACAACTCTGTGATGCTACAAGGTCCCTGCCAGCAAGCAAGCTGTAGCATTCTGCTCACAGACCACACTCAGTCGGACTGCCTGCCTAAAAGAGTCAGAGTTTGCCCTGGCAGGACAGCCCAGAAAGCCAGCATTTTAAAACAGCATGACATTTTTCCTGCTACTGCTGAAAACCGAAAAACATGTGTTCAGTTTTTCATCAACACCATTTAAGTATTTCGTGGCAGGACCTCTTAATGAGCTTCAGGGTTTTGCAGCTAAAGCTGAGTCAGGAAGCCTCTCTTAGATGAGAGCCTTGCTTGCCTCTAGCAAGCAGAACATACCCAAGAAATTGCTGCTACCAAGAAAACATGATTTACTCTATTCTTTCCCAAGCTTTCTCAAGCTTTCTGTGGATTCAGTTATCAACATCTGGACACCATATGTAACATGACAGGACCTGCTTGTTGGGATATCTATTCCCGCCCGGTACCCCACAGCCAGCAAGTCCCAGAGAAAATCAACCACACAGAGATCTCTATAAGTTATAAAGCTGATTGGTCCATTAGCTCAGGCTTCTTGTTAACTCTTATAGCTTATATTAACCCATTATTCTGATCTATGTTAGCCATATGGCTTGGTACCTTTTTCAGCTGTTAGCTCACATGTTGCCTCTTCGGTGGTCTGGGCAGGAATGGCGGAGTGAGCTTCTTCCTCCCTAGCCTTATCCTAGTCTCATTGCCCTGTCTCTACTTCCTGTCTGATTGACCCACCTATACTTCCTGCCTGGCCAGTCAGTGTTTTATTAAAATACATGATTGACAGAATACAGACAATTCTACCGCACCATGACTTAAGATTTTCTGTTATTTTAACATGAATGTCACACAAGAATGCTGTTTATCCAGCTCATTGGCCCAAAACTTATTCAGTTATACTTTAATTCATGATGATGATGATGATTCTCTTGTTGTGTTAGTGTTTGATCCTGGGCCTTAGACATTAGTGAGAAATCACCCTACTGTGAAACAACATCCCTGTCCCTGTCCAACCAGAACTTGTAGCCATTTCTGATCCTAGTGCATTGTTATTTTATTCTCAGGCATTTAGTTTCTATTGAATACTGAAAGGGTCTGTGTTGTAGGCTGTACACTTAGTTCATGTGAGCTGCCCTTTTCATATTTCAATGTTGCTTCTTTCCCTGTGTATATGTAAATATTCTGACCATTTGATTTATTCTGGTCTTTGGATTTTACTTAAGGTCTTATGTCATAAAAAAGACATTTTTTATGTCCATTCTTTTTGGGAGAAAAGATTCTGTATGATTGGAAAACAGTGAGTTACAATCATCAAATTGAGTTAGTCTTTGTTCAACAGTAAGGCAATATCATGGGGGTAAGAAGCGTGTGTATGTGTATGAGTGTGTGTGTATGTTTGCACTGAGGACAAATTTTAATATTAGTTATTTATTTTTTATGTATGGGTGTTTTGTCTGCATGTATTTTTTATGTGTGGGTGTTTTGTCTGTTCATCATGTGCATGCCCATGGAGGCCAGAAGATGACATTAGATTCTCTGATACTGGAGTTACATAAAATGTTTAGGGGCCATTTGGGTGCTGGAAACTGAATCACTGGTACTCTGCAAGAATAACAAGTGCTCTTAACTGCTGAGTCTTATCTCTGAGCCTTGAAATTTTCATTTCTAATTTATTATGTTACATGGTGGGATGATTTCCCTTGGATCTTAATATTGTACTTTCAAAATATTATCCAAGGAATAGTAATTAGGATCTTTCAAATAAGTTACAGCATCCTGTAGCCTTACACCTTCGCTAATGGAAGCACCTTTTAAAACCATTTTAACCCAAAACCAAAGTAGTGCAGGCTCCTTATGACAGTCTACATAGATTGGGTATATTAAGGTAGATGGGGATCTGGAGGACGTAACTCCTTAGATGAGACTTGAGCCCTGGCTACTCTGACTGAGGTTGATGGACAAAGATGATGGGCAATGGGAGACTTGGTGACCCAGAGGACACTGTATGAATATTTGGTGACAGCAATAGTGCTGGTTCCCACACAGCACAAACTTCCCTGAGATGACACACGTGAAGACCAGCTCACTCCTTCTTAGCACACAAAATCCCATTGCTGGGAACTGTGTTGTGAGTCATTTTTAATTTTATTATTTGGTTTGCAGTTAAGGGGATCAGTATCTAGTGTATGTTTTGAGGGCTCTGCCACTGAGCTGTCCCCCTGGCCTGGGGTGTACTTGTTTCAAACTATGAGAGTAAAGAAATTCTGAATTACTTTGAGCCACTTGAAGTAGAAAGTTGCACATGCTCGCTGGCATCAGAGTTGAGACCTCAGTTTAGTTGGACACTTTCTGTCACTTACTTGGGTTTGTTCCCTAATCTCCCCAGGCACCTGCATTCTCTCCCACCCGGTGTCATCCAGGTTTTAGTTCCTGAATTGAGCCCTTCACTGTCCATTCCTGCTGGAGCACTGGGATTAATCTTTGCTTTCCAGTATCTACACTGTTGGAGCCTCAGATTGCAGGCTGTCAATTGGACATATTGCAGGCTCAGATTGCAACTGTCACTGTCAGTTGGACATATGAGTAGTCTTGTTGTATAATCTTCCAGGGACTCTGGCCAAATTATAGTGTTTATATCCCTGGAGATATCTGATTAGTATCCTACATATTCTAAAAAAAAAATGAACAATGTAAAGAATAATTTCTATTCAAATTTAAAAATTTTCTTTCTCCCATTTTCTTTTCAAAAGGTAATTTTCATAGTTATACAAGCAGTGTTTCTGGGTATCCATTTCCATGTCCAAAGAAATGACTGTACCGAAGTCCAGACCAGGTAAGCAAATGAGAAAATGCCGTCACTTTGTTCAAGCTTATATAAATCCATGAAGAACTGTAATTCATGAGAAAAACAGAGTAAACATTTTATCACGTGATAGAGTGTGTTTGAAGGCTGAGTGGAAGAACTCACTTTTTCACATATGTCTGTGTATAGATAGTATGAAGCTCCACATATCACACATCACATTTTGCCTGTTTTACTGTATGTAGTAGTTTCATGTTATTTGACTCTCACCACACTCAAAATGTGGGGCGTTTGTTCGTCTTCCTGAGTGGAATCCTGCAACTCTTAAGAAGACTCCCCATACCACCCACTCTTGATTCCTGGCATCAGCCATTCTAGTTTCTATCATTGAACATGACTAACGTGGGAACCCTGAATGGAGACACACACAAGTGTCTTTCTTCTCCTGTTGTTTGGATGTGGTTTCTTGTTTGTTTTGATTGCCATGTTTCCATTTGTGTGATGTCCTTAGGCGTTGGTGGGGATTTCCTGGGTTCTGTAAGGCAGAATAATAGTCCATTGTGTGATTAGGTTGTGTTGCTTCCCATTCACCTGTGACCGGGAATGTGGTTCACTCTCACATGTGACTGCTATGAGCCAAGCTGCTGAGTGTGTAAGAACATCTCTTTGAGATCTGGAAGTTTGCTCTTTAAGGTAGGAAGGTAGAGCTGCATTTTCTCAGTTGAGGTTTGCTCCTTTCAAATTGACATACAACTAACCAGCACAAGCTCCCCTTGAACTCGAGCAATGGATGGTTGTGATCCACCATGTAGGTGCTGCCAAACAAACATGGCTTCCTTGCAAAATCGACAAGCACTCTTACCTGTTGAGCTATCTCTCTGGTTTTTTTTTTAAAACAGATATGTGTAATGTTATTCATTCTACAGAATAAGGAGTATTAGAAACAGCCCATCCTAATGTTGAATTTACTGTTGCTTTTGCCTTCATTCTCTCCTGGCAGAGTCCACCTGATCTTCATCCTCACAGTTATCCTGTGTCTTATAAATGTGACTATGGGGGTGCTCTTCGCAACTGACAGCTATAACAGTGATCACTTTCTGTGAGTAGCCCCTGCTTCAGAAACAGGCATCAGGGGTGGGTGATCTAGTTAATTACATTCGTAGTTGGACCTAGAATGTTATGTCATGAATTACCAGCAATTCCCCTTTTTATTACTTACTTAGTTGAAAATAAACAAACTATGAAATTTTTTATCATGTGGTATCATGATTTTGAAGTATGTAAAGAGTTTTCTAATATTATCTGAAAAATGGATGGGAAATCAAGAGCAGACGTTTTTGCTGCTCAGAGAAAGTCTCAAAATTAGGGCGAGATCACTAGATCCCAGTGCTACAGACAACACAGTCTAGGGGCTAAACATGACAGGAAATTTACCAACCCACTCCCAGAGAAAGATGTCAGGGATTTCATAGAGCTTGGGTGCAGTGGGCTCAGCAGCGCTGGAGCTGGAGAGGGACAGCTGCACAGGAATCAGGGTCTTCTTGATGCAGGGCTGGGATGAGCAGACAGCAGTCAAATATAAAAGAGCTGTTTATCTCCTGTGTTTTCCAAACATGGAAGAACCTTTTCCTGGTGGTCTGTGCTTAGGATTCCCTGCTCTCAAAGATGGCCAAGTTCGTGCCAAGGAGGGAAGCCTTCAGAGAGAAGCTGAGGGTACACTCACTTGCGATGGCTCTATGTGCATGAAACCGTGTGTTAATTCACAGTACCACAAACCCTGAGCATGTCTGTATTTCTCTAATCTCAACACTTGGGGGCTGGGTTAGAGGCAGGAAGTTCTCATTCTTGGGTACATATGGAATCTAAGGCTGTTCTGCACTGATGATTCTTTATCAAACAAAAAAAACCAAAAAACTGAGATGCACTAAAGACACTAGGTAGGGGGCAGAACTTGGGATTTGGAAGGGTCAGGAAGGGAAAGGGATAGATTTGGTATCTGGTAAAGATTCACGGTTGTAAAGAGAGATTATTGAAGGAATACATCTGTCCTAAAGTGAGGGCAGCAGAAGAGAAGGGTGTGGTGTCCTGAAGCTGCACTGTGACCTCAGAGTGACAGTGTCACCTTCTTTATAAGAACTGGAAGGAGAAAAGTCTCCATGACAAATGTCTGAGGTGAGGTACGAATGAGCTGCTCCTCAGGGAGCCAGCGTCAGAGGGGTAGAGACTCTGGGGAGAGTGGGCACATCAGGCTATTGCTCTGGAGGGGCTGTTGTGTGGTCAGAGTGGACAAAAGGAGGAAATCTTGTAGGGAGAGGCTGCTTATTTGTTTCAGCTGCAGGGCCTGCTTACACCAGAAATAACCACACAGAAACTGTATTAATTAAATTACTGCTTGGCTCATTAGCTCTAACTTCTTATTGGTTAACTCTCACATCTTCATTTAACCTATTTCTATTAATTTGTGTATCACCACATGGCAGTGACCTCCCGGGAAAGTTTCAGGATGTGTGTCTCTGGCGGCTCCATGATGGCTTTGCTCTCTTCTTCCCAGAATTCAGTTCTGTTTTTTCTGCCTACCTAAGTTCTGTCCTATCAGGCCCAAAGCAGTTTCTTTATTCATTAGTCAATGAAAGCAACACACAAATAGAAGGACCTCTTACACCAGGGAAGAGTTTTCAGATAGGGAGAATCTTAGTGAGAATGTCATAAGGATGGTAGCTTAGAGATGTTGCTCGCTAAGATGGAGACAAGTGTGGGAGTCAGCCTGGAACATAGGGGACATTGTCCTGTTAGGCTGCCTGTGGTAGCAGAAGTCACTGTAACCAGCATCTCACCTGTGCCTTCTGGACTAACTAAGGATGTATAACATGATCTTTGTCTCTGTAGACATGAGCATACCCGTGGATACTACAGAGTGTCATCGTATTTCCTTGGGAAATTGTTGGGTGAGCTGGTACCCTGGAGGTTATTGCCAAGTATTGTATTTACTGTTATATTATTCGGCATAGCAGGTAAGTGACAAAGCAAGAGAACGCGTCTTTACTCTTGGGGGAGCGTGTTTTGGTTTGTACAGCTGCGGCGAGTCTAAAGTAGGAGAGCATGAGTAGAAAGGCTCCTCTCACTCTGTGCCATCAAATCAGGAGTTCAGCGAGAGAAGAGTTCACAAAATACTACAAGAGTTGTTTATGAAACTGTGTTTTACTAGAGATTCTGTGCACTATAATGAATGTGAAAACAGCACACACATTTGAGAAAGTGCCAATGGAGCAAGGTCAATTATTAGTATCTATCCAATGATTTTTTAAAAGATTTATTTTTCCTTCATTTGTTTGTTTGCCTGTGTGTGTGTGTGTCTGTCTGTGTGTGTGTGTGTGTGTGTGTGTGTGTGTGTGTGTGGCATGTGTGTGTGTCTGTCTGTCTGTCGTGTGGGGGGGTATGCGTGTATTGTGAGAGAGAGCACTAAGTGGATGCAGTGCCTGGGGAGGTCAGAAGAGGACATCAGATTCCCAGGTACTGGAGTTACAGAATGTAAGCTGCCGTGTAGGTGCTGGGATTGGAATCCAGGGCCTCAGCAGTACTAGTACATGTGCTTAATCAGTGAGCCATCTGTTATACCAGATAACAGATGTATATTTTTCCTGTGTTTCTGTATAAGTATCTGTATATGTAAATACAATATAGAAAAGTAGATAACATCTCATACACATGTATGTGTGAAAAAGAACTTAAATGTGTACACTGTATTATATTACATAATTTTACAAAGAGAGAGGACACTAAATTTGAGGTTTGTTGACAATATGTAATATAAAAAGATATTTTAAATATGTGCACAGATTTATTTGTGTATCATGGATAAGCTTCACCTTAGATTAATTGCTCAGAATTAACATACTTTTCATACACACACACACACACACACACACACACACACTCATAAAGATACACAGACATGTCCATTCACTCACACAGACATAAACACTCATACAGACATACGCATGTACACATATACAAACACACTTGCACACACAGACAAATACACTTTCAAAGGTAAACACTGATAACGATTAGACATTTTATAAGAGATTTATTATTCAGAACTAGTTATTTAGGTGATGGAATGGTTATGGTTAATGTGCCTGTCCTGCAAATTGGTTAACCTGAATTTGATCCTCAGAATCTACAGTGGAGAAAAGAATCACTCCAGAAAGATGTTCTTCAACTCCACACACACACCATGGCACCTGCACATCATGAAACATACACACCATGACACATGTACATCATGGCTCATACACACCACAGCACATGCATACCATGGCACATGCACACCACGGGCACATATACAGTCATACGCATACATGCATTGTGAATACCATGATAATAATTACATCAACTTGTAAAACAATTAGGCACAGAACTTAGCTCCCCCAGACTCTAACTTGTATCCTTATGACTATTATAGAAACATAGGTCTATGCATGTCTCATATCATTATCTCCATAAAGATTACAAATCAGGTTTTGGGACTAATCGCCTGTCTCCATAGCAGTTATATTGTGACTTCCTAGGGAAATCTAAATTTGATGACATCCTCCTATCCTCTAGATATTAAAACCTCTGCAAGCTTGTTTAACCCTTGCCTTAGTTAGGTTTCTAGCACTGTAATAAACACCATGACCAGAACCAAACTGGGGAGGAAAGGGTTTATTTCATCTAACAGTTCAATGTCCTTTAGGAAAGGAAGTTAGGGTAGGAACCAGGAGGCAAAATGTGAGGCAGAGACCGTAGGAGAAAACTGCTTACTGGATTGCTCTTCGTGGCTTCCTAAGCCTGTCTTCTTATAGAACTCAGGACTGCCTGCCCAGGGATGGCATCATCCACAATTGTCTAAGTCCTCCTACATAAACCATTTATTAAGAAAATGCCCCTACAGGCTTGCCTACAGGCCAATCTTAAGGAGGGATTTTCTTAGTGAGATTACCTCTTTCCATAAGATACAAGCTTGTGTTACATTTACAAAAAATGAACTGGCACAGTCCTGATCCCAATTTCATTACTAATGCGATGTAATATAATGTAATATGATAAAATAATAAATGTATTATATTACAATTATAATAAACACAGAGAGATGTGGACGTGAACGTATTCTATTGCTGATTCTCCTGTGAAAAACTGTGATAAAATTTGGGTCACTTGTGTTGTCTGTAATTTTCCATGTCTGAATCCCATAAATTGCTCATAGTTACATAAAGAGGGAAATAAGTATTATATGGAAAGGTATTTTTGTGGCAGATAAAAATAAAGTGATATGATCGGGCTGGAAAGCGGCTCATTTGTTAAGAGCACTTGATGCTCCTCCAAAGTCCCCCAAATTTTGTTCCCAACACCCACATGATCAGATAGCAGTTAGAGACTCAGAGAAGTTGGGTGTCTATGAAACTATTATCAGTCTTGTTGACTATTACAGCATTATTTGAAATATGTATAATTTTCTTGATTTAGATAAACTGATCCCACTTATTTTCTTTCTAAGGAATAAATACAGATATGAAGGGTTTCTTCACTATGATATTTACCGTCTTGATGTTAGCTTTGTCTATCAGTTACCTGCCCCTGTCTATAGGAGCAGCGCAGATTGCAGTGGACGACCCAACAACACTCCTTATGGCCATCTACTTGATGTTCATGCTGGTGAGTGTGAATTGTGTTTTTCTGAGAGGAAGAATTTCCTTATGTTCTTTCTTGCACATATAACCTGCTTGACTCATCAGGACTTGGAACATGAGGTCTTATGTTCAATCTTATTATGGTCTGTAGGAGAGAAGGAGCTGCCTTGTACTCCTATGCTTTGTGGTTACTGCTCTTATATAACTCCTATGGTGTGGTTGACTTGCGTTTTGGGGGGAGCTTTTTATCAGACATTTTTTGGGAACATATTTCAAAACATAATCAATTAGAACTTCAAGAAAGTGGTGTGATTGGCTGATTCCCCCAACAACAAGACAGATTGCTGCCTTCCCTTAATGCCAGTGTGTGAGACTTGCCTGCTCTTTTAATCATAGCAGAGGTGATTTGTTTATTCAGTAGTCTCTAATGGCAAAGCATAGTTCATGGTTGGTTTTTACTTTTTACTCTTTGCTTTTTTGGGTACCCACCACCCAGCTCCCAAATAAATCACACTGAATTATATTATTACTTATAAATGCCTAGTCTTAACTTGGCTTGTCTCTAGCCATTATGACTTTACTTAAATTATCCCATCTAACTTCTGACTCTGGAACTTTTTCTTTTTTATTTATTTTTTTATTAATAATTAATTTTACATACCAATCCCAGTTCTCCCTCCCTCCCCTCTTCCAGCTTCTCCTACTTTCTCCCCATCCGACCCTCCTCCACTCCTTAGAGAGGGTAAGTCTTCCCATGGGGAGTCATCAAAGTCTGGCACATCACTTTGAGGCAGGACCAAGGTTGTCCCCCCACCCCCATATAAAAGCTGAGGATGGTATTCTTCCAAAATAAATGTGCTCCAAAAGGTTTGTTCCAGCACTCGGTCTAAATCCTGGTCCCACTGAAAGTCTAATCCCACAAACTGCCCAAGCCACATAACTGCCACCCACATTCAGAGATCCTAGATTGGTCCTATGCAGGTACCCCAGCCCCCAGTTAGGGATCAGCGAGCTCCCATTAGCTCAGGTCAGCTGTTTCTGTGGGTTTCCCTACCTTTTCTTACTACTGTGTCTTACTCTCACACTTACTCCATGAGTGTCGGTGTGAATCGGTGGCTGTGTAGCTGGGTGGCTGGCCTCAAGCATCCTCCTCTCCTCTTTTCTTGTTCCTCCATCCCCTTAGATTTCTCCTCCCAGTTATTCTCTCTGCCTGCCAGCCCTGCCTATCCTTTCTTGCCAAGTTATTGACTCTTCAGCTTTTTATTATACCAATCAGGAGTGTAGACAGGCAAAGTATCACAACTTGGCAAAGTTAAAAAATGCAACATAAAAGAAAGCATCATATTTTGCATCATTATACAAATGTTCCACAGGACAAACATGTGTAATACATCTTAAAGAAATGTTTTACATTAATGATCAAAGTAATTGTTCAGCACTAAAAGTCTATTTCAGGGCTCACTTGTATTGTGAAAAGTGTTAGATATAGTGGAAGATTCCAGAATCCTAAGTACTAATCCGTCTCTGTATTAGCACACTACTGTTCAATGTTTGTAAATGATTACCCATTTTACTCTTTCACCTCCATTAATTACATACAGAGCTGATGTTGGACACATTGAGGAACCATTTGGAGATAGAGACTTGATGGGGGAAAGTCTGTTGCAAGAAAGGGGAAGGTCTTTGAATGTTTATAGTCTTCTCCTCCTTCCTCTTTCTGCTCTGCTTCGCACTGTCATGTGAAGATGTAAGCATTCAGCTTCCTTTCGCACTTCCTTGCCTGCTGCCTGCTGCCCACTGCCAAGCCTCCCTGTCAAAATGACATCTTATCACTCTAGAAACCCAAGGCCAAAGGAACTCTTTTTTTCTACAAGCTGCCTTGATCGTGATGTTGTGTCTCAGTAACAGAGAAGTAACTGCTACACTTCCTGTTAATCGGGCCATTCTTTCCTCCCTGTCTCATTCTTTCTTTTGCTTTTTGTAAACCACTGGGTCTTCTTAGCTGTGCCCATATATGCCTGTGGAGGGCCTTCTACTGGACCATGGAAGGCTCTCAGGGACCACATACTTAAAGAAAACTGGCTCTCCCCCTCCCAGCAGTCATCACTACCAATAGCTCCTCAGGTAAGGGAAGGAGTTCATAGCCAGCTCTCCCTTCCATGCAGGGATTTTGTCTGTCCTGATCTTTTACAGGTGATGCCCATGCTGTCACAACTGCTCTGCACTCATATGTGTCACTGTCCTGCTGTGACAGAAAGCACTGTCTTGTTGTAGTTGTTCACTGCCTCTGGCTCTTACAGTCTCTCTAGCCTCTCTTCATCATGATCATTGATCTTGGGAGGGGCTGTGATATCCAGATGTCCCATTCAGGGCAGGATCCTCTGTCATTTCTCTTCTCTGTATATCGACCTGTGATGGGTCTGTCTTAATCACTGTCTCCTGAAAAAGGAAACATCTCTGAAGAAGGTCTGAGATGTACTTATCTGTGGGTGTCACAACAACTCATTAGAAGTCAGTGTGATACCAGATCCATTTAGGGGATTAACAGTAGATTCTCTCCTCGGACCTATGACCCCACTAGACACAGCATCAGACAGGATTTCGATCTCATAGAGCAGCCCATAAATACAATCAGAAAATGAATGGTGGTTAGTGCCATTGTAGTAGTCTGTCCAGTGTCCCCCATGTGTTTCTTTATCACCAAGAAAAAGAAAAGCAGAAAAAACCCAGGTGGGCTCCTCCCTGTCTTTTAGCATACATGGAACACCCCAAGTCTCCTACCCTATATTTCAGCATTTCTAGCTCACTACCCATAGTGATAACACCCAATTAAGATGGAAGAGACAAGGAAAAACTGACAGAAAATTTTGCTCTATCATGTTAAGGACTGGACTCAGAGTACTCTGCCAAGCATGCTGGACTGAACTATAGATGAGTTTTTGTAAAGGAAGCCTAGACATACTGGTTCTTAGACCTAAAACCCTCTACCATCTTTGAGCACTCTTGTTGGCCTATGGTGATGGTGTTTTCATCTGCCTCATTGCTGAGCTGCCAGACTCTCAGGGCATGGGGCAGTAGACAAACATGACGCTTGTGGACAAGATGATCTATAGAGATTGGTTCTGCTGCCATCCAGAACATCGACCCCAAAGCACAGTGGAGATAGCAAGGCCCAGGAATTATTTCCATAAGTTCTGCCCATTGTTGGTTCTGGTCATCCTACCTCAGTCTGTAGAAGGGAAACTGAGTCACCTTGGAGCCCAGAACTGCCTGAGCATCGTTATACAAGATTTAAAATGAAATGCAGTTCTACAGTGTCTCCAGTGTGTAGGGTAGAGGGTTAAAGGTGACAGAATGTGTTAATATAGATAAGATGGATAAACCTGTGTGACCCTATCCCTTTTCCCTTCTCATGTGTGATTATATATTGAAGGAGGAGAATACAGGTACACAATAGAGTAAGTTTTTCCTGGAGAATATATGGAGAAATTTTAAAAGGAATACATCAGATATTATGATGTTAAAACTGTCTCCTGGAAGTCTCCCTAAATTCTGTGAAATGGACTGGCCTTTAAGAACCCAGATGAAATTCCACAAATAACAAAGAAACAAATAAACAAACTAAATGATAACTTTAATATACACTGGTAGGAGTGTACCAACTCCTGAGATGGGTAGAGCCTCCTCCCTTCCCCATGCTGATGCTGGTTTGATAAATACTATCTTAGAGTAACTAAGAACTACATAGGCTTGTTTAAGATTAAAGTCATTCTCAGAAGGACTGAGACCTCTCTAAGCCCACAGGCCTTCCTACCAGGGAATGCATGTAAATGTGGTAGTGGTGGCTGTACCCAGTACCAAAGGTTGGGGAAGGCAAAAACCGGTTCAGTTGACCAGCCAATCAAGCCAAATGGATGAGCTCTGAGCTCAGCCAAAGACTGTCTCAGAAAATGAGCTAGAGGGAGGCTGAGAGATGGCTAAGTAGTTAAGAGCATTGGCTGCTCTTCCAGAGGTCCTGAGTTCAATTCCCAGCAACCATATGGTGACTCACAACCATCTGTAATGAGATCTGTCACTCTCTTCTGGTGTGCAGGCATACATGGAGGCAGAATGTTGTATACATATTGTATACATAATAATAAATGTTATTATTTATGTATGTATGTATACATGTTGTATACATAATAATAAATAAATCTTTTAAAAAATGAGCTAGATCAGTGATCAAGGTCACCTGACAGGGACCTCTGACCCCCCCCCACATGTACACATGTGAACATCACATACATATACACACAACACAGACAGACTCAAAATGGGTACTGTAGAAGGAAAGATGGTAGCAAACAAAATAGGCAAATAGTTATAGTACCTCTTTTGATAAATTCAATTACATTATGACACCAAATGCTAATATTGAATATATTATTCCCTAATCTAGTTATGACTTCATGCCTTAATGATACAGCATAAGCCTTTAAGACTTTTTAAAGTAAGCTCTCAAGGTATATTACATACAAACCCAGTGGCTGCATGAAGTTCCCATGTAAAGCATGTAGCCTAAGTATTTTCTTAAGCTACCAAGGGAATACAACATCAATCCCCGAATAAATTATCTCTAATTAAAGAATTTAAAGCTGTTAGAGAATATTCAAGTGTGCAAAAATGGAAGGGTCCAAAAACCTCCTTCTAAGGGAGAATCTCTTAGGCTGACTGTTGCTATATCTGGGTTGACTGTCCTGGGATGGAGTGTTGCTGTGGCAACATGTTCCAGGATGAGCGTTGCTCTTGCAACGTGTCTTAGACTTTTTCTTTTCTTAAGACCATTTGATCAATACATGATGAGCTGACTTACAAGTGCAGATAAATTGTCAGAGTAATGACCAATGACCAGAGCACAGATATTAAGGTGCCACCTGCATCCAAATGTAATTTTCTTTCTGAAACACTTATGGTCTGATCACTAATGAAGCCTTGCACACACACACACACACACACACACACACACACACACACAGTGTCTAGAGAGTAACCAGAACTGGGAGAAACTGGACAGAGGCCCACGCTTTGCCGAGAGAGTGAACAGACAACGGAGGAGTCTGTAGTCAGTGTCTAGGCTGAACAGAGCAATGCCTGATTTCAGGCATGTCACAATGAGGGCAAATGTTTGTTGGGTTCACATTTACCACAGAAATCTTCCTCGCTTCATTGAGTTTAGCTTATTCTTGCCTAAAAAGTTCACTAGTAAAGAGAACTTTGAGAGAAAGAATTAGAGAAGCCAATAGTATCTTCACAGTCAGCCAATGGCAATATGAAGGGAGGGCTTGGCTTGGGGCCTATTATAGTAAAGGCACAGGAACCAGGAACCTATTTCATACTTGTTTTAGTAGGATAAAGCATGTCATTCACAGAAGCAGTATTTTGTTCATTAGCAAAACAGGCTTATAGACACTCCTTTGGATGATGTAGAAAATTAATATCAATCTCATAGAGTCAAATGTGCCATTCCTATAATTACAAACAAGGAACAGTTCCTGTTCGAGATTCTATAGAAGCTGACTTCAATGATTAGTGACTTGCAGAAGGCAAACAAGCAAGGCCATCCTCTTAGTTAGCCAGATTTGCAACAGAAGTGCCCGCCTGGAACTCAACACAGCTCAACATGCATGTATAGAGTGTTCAGTACCACACTGCTTCGAGCATAGCATTATACCCAGAAACTGTTTTTGAGAAATATGCGGTATGTTTGGAGATCTCTGCAGGGTGGCTTTTCCTAGCATCCTGGGATACCTCTGGGTTTCTTCCAGAAACAAACAACAACAAAATAAAAGGTCAGGTTCTGAGGAGAAAGCAATTTGCTTCAGGAGTTCCACCAAGTAATAGATTTTAAAGTATCTTTATCCAAAGACTGGGCATCAACAAAAAGTGTTATAACCTGAGTTGGTGAGTTTCATCCCTGGGTTTTACAGGAAAGGAAACCTATCTGTAAAACTCTAGGGCCAGCTCGTTTACCAGTAGCGGAGAACTGGTCATCTTCCTCATCTTCATCAGTGGGCGATGTCTGGTACACTCTGGGGTCCACAAAGAGGGTGAAGGAGGCTTTGGTGCTGCTTCCCATGCCCTCCTGATCAAAAAGCAAAAAGGAGAAGTCAGTGCAGCAGGAACAGGTGGAGCTGGCATTGCTTATCTTTACCTAAGAAAACAAACAAAACAAGCAAGTAAACAAATTAAAAACCAGAATGGTTTATCTTTGAACAAGGACATACGTCCCAAGTTGCCCCCTTTGGATCCTCCAGGCAGTCTTTAAAATTAATTCTCAAAAAGAACCTAACAATACCTCATTACCTAAAGGGCATGGAGTTAGTAGGGTTCACTCTCTTTTTACTCTCATCTTTGCTAAATGTGCTTATAAAACTGACGTAGAGACCTGAATACTTGGGTAAATTGTACTGTGCATGTCCCCAAGGAGTGACTGTTACATATGTGCAGCAGGACACCCCTGCCTCAAATATCCTTTTCCTTTGAGTGGGACCCTGGTCCTACCTGAGCAAGTAGCATGTTGTCCTCTTTATGAGAGAAGGACACATGGGGTGTGCAAGTTTGCTAGAGGCTGTTGTTCTTGTTCCCAGATGGGCAGATAGGCCCACTTAAAAGTTCTTATCAATAGAGAGGATAAATTGTTCCTCATACAACAGGGGGATGGATTCTCTCTCCAATTTATTGCTGACGTAAAAGACTGTTCCCATAACCTGGGTCTTTTTTTTTTTTTTTATTTCCATGTGAAGTTTAAAAATGTTGTTTCAATTTCTGTGAATTGCATTGAAATTTTGATGGGGATTGCACTGAATCTATTGATTGTTTTTGGTAGGATATACATTATCATAATTTTTATCTTAGAAAATCTAAACATTGGTGATCTGTATTTTTCCAATTTCTTTTTTTTTCAGTGTCTTAAACTTCTTATTGTACAAGTATTTTATTTGGTTAAATTTATTCCAAGACTCCCCTTGCCCTACTTTTTTGAGGTTACTGTGAATGAGACTGTTTCTCTCATTTAGTTCCCATTATGTTTGTAATTTGTACTTAGAAAAGCTCCTGACTTATTATGTTGTCGTGCTATTTTATCACAGCCATAGGAAAGGACCTAAAACAAATGGTTATTGTATAAAGTTTTTATATGTGACCTTAGAATTAGTTATAAAGTCAAATGCTGTGTTTTCTGTATAACCATTTGGTATGGTGCAGTCTGAATGCATGCAAACACAGTCATTGTTTTGCATATTCTAGTTTATCCAAGACCGGATAGGGCAAGTTTTATATGAAGTTCATAGCTGTCCCTTGTTCATTTTATTTCATTGGTGTTCCCACTGTGGTCCTTCTGTCTATATGTTACTTTTATTGGTTAATGAATAAAGAAATTCCTTGGCCTGTTGATTGGACAGAACTTAAGTAGGCAGGGAAAACTCAACTGAATGCTGAGAGAAGAAAGGCAGAGAGGGAGATGCCATGTAGCCCCGCCAGAGACAGACACTGGTAAGCCACAGCCACGTGGTCATAATGGATTATTAGAAATGGGTTAAATTAATGTGTAAGAGTTAGCCAATAAGAAAATATATCTAATGGGCTAACCAGTGATTTACTTAATACAGTTTTTGTGTGATTATTTTGGGGCTAAGTGACCGGGAACCAACAAGCAGCGACCCTTCCCGCAACAGTCCATCATTCATAATATCTGTATAAATCAGTTATTATGAAAACTCTAAAAATGATTTAAATACATAGAATGGGTGTACTTAAATTTAAGGAATATTTGTAGGTTGCCTGCCATTTTGAAGATTATGTAATAGTTGTAAGTTTGTCTCCTACAGAGTAGTGTGACTAGTTATTCTTTTAAAATCTGCAAGGAAACATAGCACTGCAAAGAGTGAAGAATTCTGTTAAGAGTTAACTGAAAGAATGTTTTAAAGAGTTGGTCTGAGCAGATATGGTCAGAAGGATGAAGGGTCTTGAAGAGGGAAGAATCTTGCCTAGAATTCTTAGTCACTGGACTGGTTCTAATTCGTGGTTTTGCCCTTCACAGTTTTTCTCAGGTCTGTCAGTATTTTCAGGAAGTTTCATTCCTGGGCTCTCATGGATTCAGTACATTAACATTCCTCATTATGGACTGACAGTAAGTTGTCCTGTCTGCCACTGTAATTAGGGTCTCCAACTGTAGCAGCTGAAGTGATTCTTACAATGTCCTTTCCCCAGCTGTAATCTCTAACCAGTTGCTGCCCAGGATTTTCCTTCCAGGAGCAAAAGATGAGAACTTTCCTGTTAGTTTTAGCAGAAGGTCAGTGAGTCATCTGAGATTTTCCCCAGTCACGTGTTATTTGAGGGAAGTAAAGGGTGAGAAGAATCCCAGGGTAAAGGGGAAAGCTAGATGATATGAGGAAAAGCAAACAGTTGTGACTCTGCCCAATAAGGAAATAAGGAAAGGATCAGGGGCTGTGATATATGGTTTATATCAGGAAAATAAAAGATAGAGAAACCATGTGATATCCATAGCCATAGTGGCTTTGCCAAACTTTCTCTTCAGGAACATGTGTCTCAAAAGACTTTCTTACTCCCGTAATCACAACTGGTTTTGATGAAAACAAGCAAGAGAACATTGTTAGTATAAATCAGCAGCATTGTTTTAAATATAGAGTTTACAGGGTTATGGACTGGGAGAGAAGGAGGAGCCTGGAGTAGTCTAGTTAGAAAGTCTACATCTTAGTAGTTGGGAAACCCCATCATTTCAATCCTAAATCTTCTGAGTGTGGGGGAGAGGACTGCTTTGTTGGGCTGACTGAACTTAGTAAGATATCTTTTCTAAATATTTTTGCGAAGAATAAATATATTTACAGATAACAGTCAATATTGAACTTGAAGTTATAGTTGTGTTTATTCTTTGGAAACTTACGGAAATGTTAAACTATTTGCCTTTCCTTGTTTTTGTTTGTGCTACAGGCTTTGCTGCACAATGAATTCCTGGGACAAAACTTCTGTCCAGAACACAAAACAGCAGAAATCAATAGATGTCACAACTTAGTAATGTAAGCTTGAGTTCAGTGTCACAACAGGGACATAGAATGTTACTAGACTTAGAAGGAAAACCATGCTTTCAGAATTAACTATGTCTTCTGCCCATTCCCCAGAGTGAGTCATTGTAACCAATGCACTTGGCTGTGTTTCCATCCTACTGCTCCATGTTGTAGATAATGTGCAGAAAGGGTTATTTGTGGTCTTTAAAAATGATTTTGGTGTCTTGATTGTGGATTTGAGTTGTTTCAGAATCTTTGAGTTTGGCATAGACTGCTCTGATAGTTTACAAGTGCATACAGTTTCCACATGTGTAGACTAGGGCACCTGTGAACAGAACCCAAGAATGTCAGGGCAGCAAGGATTAAAGTAAGTCAACTTTGCCTTCCAGATTTCAGGATATTTCCTCTGCTGCACACTCTGGAAGACTTTAACAAATCAAAGGGTGGTGCTTCTCTCTCTCTCTTTCCCTCTCTCTCTCTTTCTTTCAATCTGTGTGTATATGTCTGTTTGTGTGTGTGTGTGTGTGTGTGTGTGTGTGTGTGTGTGTGTAAAATGTCCTACCAGAAGACTTGTCCTGCAATAAAAACTGAAAAATATACATTTTACTATGTTGGAAAGAAATATCATTTTTGTCTAATGCTTTGAAAGCATCTTCACTTTCTATAATAAGTCTCATATATTTGCTTTTGATAGAAAATGAGAGAAGAATATGGTGATATGTTAAATCTTTCATGGATGCTGAAAATAATAATGAATAAAAGTAACAAAAATTTATATTTGAATTACTGATCAGAAAACAAGTATGGGGAATATCTTATTTCCCATATCTCTTTTTTCCTGGTATGGTATGTTATCTTTCTAATACAAATTCTTTTCCAATTTCTGGTAATGAGGACTTGGATGGGTAAATGGAAACCAAGGAAAGGTATCCACAGACTTCATACTCAAAAAAGGATTGTTGTCACAATAGGAAGAAGAAATCTGCCCTTTCTCATAGATTTGGGAACTGTTAAATCCTGTGAGATACAAGGGAATGGAGACATACAGGAATGGAGACACACAGGGATGGGGACACACAGAGATGGAGACACACAGGGTTGGAGATGCACAGGGATGGAGAAACACGAGGTTGGAGACACAGGAATGAAGACACACAGACATAGGAACATACAGTGATAGTGACACACAGGCAGTATTATAGTGTATCTACCAGCAGCTGTTTTTTTTAACCTGTGTCTGGGTCCTTACATCCTGCTGTGCTGCAACTGTTACCCATGATCTGTCAGTAGCCATGGACTCCTGGGAATGTTCCATAGCTGAGCATCCACGGTTCTTACTGCTCTCTCAGTACATGAGCTGACAACAATGAACTGACTCCCCTCAGAAACCCTTAGTCTTCTCTGGTCCTTGGTCTAGAAATTGATGCTGTGTTCTTTTGCCTGACTGTGTGCTAAGTCAGCAGAATTACACAAAGCTTTGGTCTCATAGAGTGTCTGTGTATGTAAATAATAAGCTGATGTTTTCTGCTTTGGGAGAAACAAGTCCTTCATCCACGCCTTTGTCCTTTGAAGAGAGAACAGCATGGTAGATTTAGAAATGATTGACACAGTTATGACTACAAAGTTGGACCTTTGTGTGACTTGCTGAGCTCATCCACGTTTACTAAGCCTACTTCCTCTCTGCTTTTAAATAGATGTGATAGCTATGCTTCTTCAGATGGTTTTTGAAATTAACAAAGGGTCCTCATTCAAGTAGTTTAGATTGACATAATATATAACAAATTTGTAAGTACATCAGTACTACTATCAATTAAACACAAAGATTAAGTTTTTAATGAAGTGCTGAAGCTGGGTATTTAATAAAAGGTAGGAGCAGTGGATGTACGGAATAAGCTTTGACATTATTTTTGTGTGTGTTGAATTACAGATGCACTGGAGAAGAATTCTTGACAAGCCAGGTCACCGACCTCTCATCATGGAGCTTCTGGGAGAATCACATGGTCTTAGCTTGTATAATAATTATCCTCTTATCAATTACCAATGTGCAGTTATTAGCTTTTATGAAAAAGAGACATTTGTTTTAACCAGTTTTTTACTTTCTTTGTATTAAAATGACCTTTAAAATAGTTAAAACTTTAACAATGAGTGACCATGTCTAACGAGCAGTAGGTAACACTGGAATTTCAGGAGTTTGGCCCACCAGAATTCAAGGCACTGATTGGTGCATCATGGATAAACAAGGCCCTAAGAGCTTTGGCTCCAGAGTGTCTTGGCTACTGCTGTGCCTTTACATTTTTTGCTGCTGCCATTTTTTCTCTTGTATTTGCTGTGTTGTGAATGTGTAAAGGGATTCCCCTGTCTTTAATGTAGTGTGATTATGTAATGGAAATATAGTCTACAAGGCAGTTGACTTGTACCTGTGGATTATAATGAAGATGCTTTCCTCAAAAGCTATATTGTTTAGTTGAAGTAATGATTTTACAATAATAGTGATAGTTCAAATATAATTTTGATGATTAAGGGTTTTTATCAAATGTAGTAAGGAATTATAGTAGAGGTTAGTTTAGTGCGAAAATTAATATAGGTATATGTAGGAAACAGTATTTCCCACAGCCCTGATACAGCAGGGACTTGAGAAAATAGAAAATAGGAAAAAGGGATTGTCATAAAACTAAAACTTAAAAGTTTCACTTAGGAACCACATAGACTATTGTTTAGGTTAATAATTAAGGAAAACAATTGAGTCCTGGGATTTACCTCAAATTCTTTTTGATATTGGGAAATGTGTTCTCAGGTTTCAGTGTGCACCATAGCTGGAAGATATCTGTAAACGATTGACTTCGTGTAACTAGAAAACAAAGAATGTTATGGTTAGTTAGCATAATGGGACAGAACTCTAAAATATAGAAGGTGAACTTAGTAATCTGTTTTTCAGACAATTATAAAAACTTTGCCTAGGTAAGTAGTTATGACTGAAATTTTCCTGATCTATGAGAAGTGTAAAAGATAAATATTTAACTGTATGTGGGTGCTTAGAGATTATTTTTCACCTGTAATATGTAGAATGTTTAATTATGTAAGGGAAATAGGAAACATGTTGTTTATTACTTGTATTCATTGCAATCATTTAGTTAAAAGCATAATGTAACCACATTGTCATTTTTATATTGTTTGAAAGATTATGCTGTCTGTGTAAATTGTAGGGGAATAAAATAGCCAGAATAAGGACATCAGGAAGTGGAGGAGAAGGAAGCCATCAGTAAGTAGTGAAAAGGAAGAGAAAGAAGAAAAACATCAGGGTAGAAGAACAGAACAGAAAAAGTAAAGAGTAGAACAAGCAACCGAAAGAAGAATAAAATGAAGAACTAAGCTTTGATCCTTGTGTACCCATTCATCTGTTCAGTAGCTTGCATGCACTGCATTTCCTCTTAGTTTCTCTGTCCTGCTGAAGGTTTTTCATTCATCAGCCCCCTCGCTGAGATCCTGACGCGTTGGAGATGTGTGTGTTTGTGTGTATCCCTTGCTTGCCAGTCACAGAGAGTTAGGTTTGTCCCAATCACTAGCCCCAGAGAATTCAGGTTTACTTCTCAGGTAGAAAAGTCTATGGGGTGATTAGTCCTCTGACTCCCTGGAGCCCCTACTGTTCCTGAGCTGCTGAAGGCTGATCTTTACAGGAGCAAAACTTAATTTTCTTTTTTGTTGTTGTTGTTGTTCTGTAAATCCAACCAAAAACCAGCAACTGGGATTTTAGGTTCTTTGGCAGAACTTTTCTACAATTGCTTAAAGAGATTTGATTGTAAACTGTCTTCTAAATATTTTTACTTATACTTATGGGCACAGGCTACAGCCAGCATTACCCAGAAAAGATTCCCTCTGTAATGAACTGTGGTGAGTGCAGAGACTCATGACTGCTCAAGTACTGACTCTGGAGTGTTTAACCCTAAGCAGGGCACAAAAAACCATCCCCTCTAATGTTCAGAATTGTGTGGAAGAGGAGTGTTGTTGGGGTCTGATGCCCCAGCATGAACTACTTTTCCGTCTCTGAATGGGCATAGAGGCATGGGAATAATTGAGACACAGTTCACACAGCAATATTGAAAGGGAGTCTCAGGCTTCATTCATTCTTGAAGATTCCCCATGTTTATTTTCCAAACATCTTTTATCCCCCAAAGTAAACTAAGGTGGAAATTCATTAACATTCTCATGACTGCAGTTAAGTCCACAGCTCACAGTTCAGTCACTAGCTTGGAATTCACACCTCTTCTCATGCGATCTACATAATTACAAAAGAGAAGGAGCAGTACATCCTGAGCTTTTGTTAGCTAGCAACAGTCTGTCTAGAAGGTACTTGATTGCTTTGGATACCAAGGATGGCTCAAGAGCTTGACTGTCACACCATGTAGAAATATGTGCCTACAGGGTGTAAAGAGTACAGCAGCCATAAGAAGAGACGAATGGCTGGAAATGCTGTATTGTTGGCATGGCACAGCCCTTACAACCAAGATGTTGTCTGTCTACAACATCTACAACTGCTTGCACAAGACTGAGTCCCTCATCCACAAAGTAAGGGTCAGGGAGAAAAGAGGACCATACTCCATTCTGCTGAACTATAGCTACTGGTAGATTGTGATAGATAGGCAGTCATTGATTTCACATGTATACTCACAGGAGAGCCAGCTAAGCTCCAGTGGACAGTCTAAACCAAGGGTCAAACAGAGAGCCCTGGTTAAACTCCATGGGTCACAAGACAGAACACAAAGATAGGAATGTGGGAAAGAGACTTGTACAGAGGGGTTGAATGAAGGGGTTGAAAGGGAGATAAGAAAGGTGGGAATGAGAGAGTATGTAACGAAGACTTTTTCTATTCAGTTTCTGTCATATTCTAAATAAGCAACAGTCAGTTTTCTTTGAAATTCACAGGATAGTAACAAATTAAATTATAAGGTAAAGGTACCAAGCACCAATGTTCTTAAGTATTGCATGTTAGTTCATCTCACTGACAATAATCATGAGAGGAAACCAATCAAATTTCTTTTACCACGAAAAGGAGAATTTGTTCTAGAGAGCCTTACATTCTTTATGTTTTTACAACTTCATCTTCACTGTGAGAGCATAGCCTACATCCACTAAATGAATCCATCATCAGCCATTATCTGGTTCATAAGAAATTACAGATTCTTTTTAAAGCATGGTTCTAATATATGTTATAAAAAACTATGCTACTTCTAAAGTTAAAAAAGTCACTGAACTTGGTGTGGTGTTACTGCAAGCTTATATTGTCATTTAGTATGCAATATACTTCTTATATGTGTTACTTTTATTGGTTGGTGACTAAAGCTGTTTTGACCTATGACTTAGCACAGTAAAGTCAGGCAGGAAATCTGAGGAGATCTATAAAGAGAGTAGATGAAGTCAAGGAGATGACAGACAGCTGTCGAAGGAGAAAGATGTCAGAACATTACTGGAATGCCATAGCCTTGTGGCGATACATTGATTAACAGAAATGTCTTCATTTTAGATATAAGAGCTAGCTAGGAATATGCCTGAATCATTGGCCAAACCGTTTATAATTAATATAAGCGTCTGTGTGTTACTTTGGGGCTGAACAGCTGCTGGACCTGGCTGGACAAAAATTTGCATTTGCAGTCATTACTTGAGAAGTGAGAAGATCAGGAGTTCAAGGTCATCCTCAGGTAGATTTATATTTGAGGCCACCCTGGACTACCAAAGACACACTTCAAAACAAAACAAAAACAAACAAACCACACAAGTGACCATGGAAACGTCTTTGATGAGCTCATTAAATAAGATTTATGGATGGTGTCTTAGAGTTTGTATTACTTTGAAGAAACACCATGACCATAAAGCAAGTTAGGAAGAAAGGGTTTATTTGGCTTATACTTCTACACCAGTGTTTATCACTGATGGAAATCAGGACAGAACGTCAAGCAGGGCAGAAAATTGGAGGCAGGAACTACCACAGAGGCCATGGAGGAGGTTGTTGCTTATTGGTTTGCTCAGCATAGCTTTTTCAGCCTGCTTTCTTATAGAAGCTGGGATTATCAATACTGGGGTAGCCCCATGAACAGTTTCTGGGCCATCTGCCATTGATCCCTTACTAAAAAAATGCTTTGCAACTGGATCTTATGAAGGCATTTTCACAACTGAGGCTCCTTCTTCTCTGATGACTCTGACTTGTGTCAACTTGTCATACAACCTGCCAGGACAGGTGGAAACTTCTCTGTGGTGATATAATGGCTTAGGAGTGTTGACTGGAGGTCTTGGCTATAGTTGCTATAAAATGACAGGGTTATTATGATATGAAATGACTCTTGTGACATTTGATCTGAAATGTCACTTAAGCTTTGAGTTAGTTCAGTGGGATAGAATTTGGCAAGAGGTTCTCTTGAGGAATGTTGCTGAGACACAGATGTTGGGGCCCTGCCTTAGAGATCAGTGTCTGAAGAAAATGCTCCTTGGAATCTTTGCCCACTCCCAGATCTGCTAGTTTCCAAGATCATTTGCAGCCCTAGAGATTACAGTCTATGACTTAGTAGCTGCTATATCTATATTTTCAAAGTCTTTATTTCTCTTGGGTTTCTATAATTTATATTCATAACTTCTTCATTCAGTCTTTTCCCATAAAAGCATAGGACTCATAAGCAATACAGGTGTTTTTAAATATCTTGCAAACAGATGTACAATGTAACAAAAAGTCCAGTTGGCTCTCACTCCACTCTCACCACTGGACAGGTCTCCTAGGCAGAAACTTAACAGAGAAATAAAAGAACTAACAGATGACACGACTCAAATGGATCTAATAGACATCTATAGAACATTCCATCCAAACAAAAGAGAATGTAACTTCTACTCATCATCTCATGGATCCATCTCAAAAATTGACTACATACTATGTAACAATCAAACCTCAACAGATACAAAGACAATTGGAATAACCCCAGGTATCCTATCAGATCACCATGGCTTAAAGTTAGAATTCAACAATAGCACTAATTTCAGAAAGCCTACAGACACATGTATTGTATGTCCTTCTGTCTATGTGTTGTTTTCATTGGTTGAATAAAGATACTGCCTTGGCCTTTTGACAGGGCAGAACTTAGGTAGGTGGGGAGGACAGAACTGAATTCTGGGAGAAAGAAGGCAGAGTGAGAGAGAGAGCTGCCATGGAGCCTCCAGGTCAGACATGCTGAATCTTTCCCGGTAAGCCACAACCTCGTGGTATTACACAGACTGGTATAAATGGGTTAAATCAATATGTGAGAGTTAGCCAATAAGAGGCTAGAGATAATGGGCCAGGCAGCAATTTAATTAATACAGTTTCTGTGTGTTTATTTTGGGTGAAAGCTAGCCGGGTGGCCAGGACACAGTTCCTCCTGTTACACACATGGAAATTAAACAATGCTCACCTGAATCACCAATGGTCAAGGAAGAAATAAAGGAAGAAATTAAAGACTTCATAAATTCAGTGGAAATGATGACACAACATACCTAAATTAATAGAATACAATGAAAGCAGTATTAATAGCACCAAGTGCCTACATAAAGAAGCTAGAAAAATCCCACATTAGTGAGTTATAGAACACCTGAAAATCTATACCAAAAAGAAGCAAACTCACCCAGGAGGACTAGACTGCAGGAAATAATCAAATTGAGAGCTTAAATCCTTAAATCAACAAAATAGAAACAACAAAAACAATACAAAGAATCAATGATACCAAGAGTTGGTTCTTTGAGAAAATTAGCAATATAGACAAACCTTTATCCAAACTAAACAAAAAGCAGAGAAAGAAGATTCGAATTAATAAAGTCAGAAGTGAAAAGGGGGACATAACAACAGACAGAGAGGAAATCCAGAGAAACTTTAGGTCACACTTTGGAAACCTGCACTCCACAAAATTGAAAAACTTAAAAGAAATGAACAATTTTCTGGAAATTTATCACTTACCAAAATTAAATCAAGACCAGATAAGCAAATTAAGTAGACCAATAACTGCTAAATAAATAGAAACAGTCATCAAAACTCCCCCTAACTAAAAAAATCTCAGGACCAGATGATTTCAGCATAGAATTCTACAAGATTTTTTAAAGAAGAACTGTACTCCTCAAATTGTTCCACATTAGAAAATGAAGGAATATTGCCAAACTCTTTCTATGAGGGTACATTTACCCCATACCTAAACCACAGAAAGATATTACTTAGAAAGAGAATTGCAAATCAATCTCACTCATGAACAAAATACTCAATAAATTACTAGCAATCCAAATTCAAGAACAGATCAGAAAAATTATCTACCATGACCAAGGATACATCAACCCAGATTGCAGGGATGATTCAACATACAAAAATCTGTTA